GCCTAGTTCTTCATGTAGGAAAGAACCATTCAAGTTCGGGGGAACAAGCTGTGAGCCCGAGCTAGCTCTCAGAGAAGAGTACCTTGGAACACTTCTGTTCTTGGAATTTCTCCTAAGAGTTTCCTGCAGTGCAAGGCTTATGCTTGGTGATCTCAGCGCTTTAAACAACTGAGAGGATACTGGGAGGGCTGTACCAACTGAGCGGGGGACTAGAAACAGCTCTCCGAAGCCCCTTAAACACCTGCTGCCCACTCAGAATACACTGGGCCCATGTGCCACTCAAATACCGGCTGGCACCATAAGGTGTCAACACCTGCCACTCCACACAAACACAGAGCAACCTTCCAGCCCTGGAATGTTTCATCTCTAGACTTCCTGCCCCCAGACACACGTATGGAGACCCGGCAACTATTTGGAGAAAGAGAAGACTCTGCCCCGCTGTGCCCCATTGCTTCTCAGCAGGAAAACAGAAGAAAATATGGACTCAAGACATGATGAAGCACTCCAATACTACACTCGACCCTGGAGCCTGAACTCAGCAGGGAATCTACCAAGTAGCATTCTCTAAGCCATCCACTCCTTGGTGCTCCAGGGACCAAGGTCAGAGAAGCATAAGGCTCGCTCATTGGAAAGAGATAGAGAGCCCTGAGTCTTGGGTTCTGTCTCTAGCTCTACCTTTCAGCTGCCCATGTGACCCCTGACATCATTTTCCCCTTTGAGCCTCAGCCTCATCTGGAGGATGAAGGCAGAAGATCCGTTGGGGTCTGTCCAGCACTCTCAATGGCCACCTCCCTGGTTGCTAGTGGCATTCCTGGCTTGGATTCTCCTGGTTGAATTCTCTCCTTTCCCCGAGTTCACAATCCCAGGAATCTCCATCAGACAAAGGCAGCTGGAAAGACCCAGAGAGGCATGTGGAGAGAACTGGGAAAGGTCAATCAAAACACACTCCTGTATCTATGAACGGCACATGTAAAGGCTACTATATTTTGTATATTTAATACCACAGGCTTTGCTGCTCTCTAAGGGGCCTCTGCACCGGTTCTCTTGTAGGGGGTCTACGGTGGCAATAAATCTGTGGATAACCAATAGCCTTGGTTTGAGAGCTTGTTGTGACGTGCGTTCATTCATTTTGATCTTTTAAAACATCAATGTGCCTTCACTAGGCTCCCACGCCCTCTGTAGGCACAGATGCTGGCATCTGAGCAGCATCTAAGATGAGGTAGTGAGGAAGAGGGGTGCTTACTGGTTATTGGCATACTTCTTCCTCAGAAGTAAGGCTGTAACTCCTCTCGTTTAACTGCCTACGATTGCACCGTGGCTTCAAAGAGCTCACACCGGCAGACAAGATGGGGCTATGTGCGTGTTAACATATTAACACAAGCAAAGGCAGCTAACTGTCACTGAAGGGATGAGATTGAAGTATTGTGGAGATGGAATTAAAAGACGGTGTGACTGAGTAGCTAGGGGGACTCAGGATGGCTGAGCAGAGGCTGCAAAGACTCACGGGGAGGAGAGAGAAAGGGCACAGTGGACAAGAGAGGAAAAACAGGACAGCAGGCCTGAGCTGAAGACAGAACAGTGGACACCGACAGACAGACAGTCTTACACACCCCAGCCCGCACCATTTTCTAGTCAGAGATTCTCAGAATTTGTCATGTTCGATTCATGTGGTGGGACTGACTTGCTGAACATTGCAAAGTGCTGAGTCTCACCCCCTGCAATTCTGAATTCAACAGGGTCTGAGTACAGCTAGCATGACAGGGACATGGCAGGGGAAAACTGGGCTATTGAATTGTCTCTAAGGTTTGGTGTTCTCTTTTATGCCCTTGGCTTCCTTTTGTTCTCTGCAATTTGTCTTGGTGAGAGGTGGGGACCCCCCTACCATGCGTGATAATGCAGATAAGGCAGTTTAGGCCAACTTAGGGGGTGCATCAGCAAAGCTTGGGTCGTAGGCATCTCCTGAGACACCATACACATGAGGATGCAGAGGCAGAATCACCTACCGTGAGAGTGGTGTCTCTTCATGGCACACACACATGGTTTGCCTTCATTTGGGATTTCTATCATACTTTTGAGTGTGTGTCATGCTTTATATGCTGTTGAGAAATAAAACAATCCTAAATCAGCCTTTGAAAGCTTTACACCCTGCTGGTTTCAAAGACTGCCATGACTCGAATTTGACAGTATTTTTGATCTGTATTTTCCACTAACTAACTACGCTGGCTTTGTATTGTGGCACATGGATTATTTGCAGCATGCTGTGACATAGAATGGGAAGATGTGTTACCTTATGTCTAGTAAGTTTCCATCAGCTTAATGACTGATAAGATACAGAAGCAAAAGAAAAGGGAGGTGACATGTATTCGGTCAGTTCAGATACCAAAAGAAGTCTAGAATGACCAAGGGTAGGAGGGCGGCTTGTGGAAGGAGAGGACAAGGGCTCAGCTTTGCCAGGGTCGAAGAATTCTCAAGCAACACAGCTGCAAATGTCCACTACCAGTACAGAATCAGGGACTTCAGAAGAGAAAAGGTGCTTTCCAGACACGAGGTGTTACTTACCAGCAATAGGTAGGACAAAGCCTGGTGAGAGAAGGCATTGTCTGGTGGGAAATTGCAGAGAACAAAAGGAAGCCAAGGGCATAAAAGAGAACACCAAGACAGAGGATTAAAGGCAAGAAAAAATATGCTTCGGTAGTTAAGGAGAGAGACTGGAGAGTAGTTAAGTGTTCACTCATCCAGTGTAGACTGGGGGTCTCGGCAAAGGCCTCTGGGGTGGACATTCATCAAGGTAGGATCCAATCTGCACGATCCTTTCTGAGGGACTGTCAGGGTGCAAGCTGCCTGTGTTTGAACTGCCTGACACCCTATGTCCCTCTATCCCCCCTCCCTCCCTCGTAGGCACCCCCTCTTTCCCTCCAGTCTTTCCTGTGCCTGAGAAAGGCTTTCAACTATCCCCTGAGAGCAGGAAGCTGCAGTAGCATCGTCCTTTCTCCATGGCATCCCGTAAGAATTATGCTCAGTTCCCGGGCTTTGCTTCCTTCAAACACAGAAATCTTTTCTTCTTACCACAGTGCCCAACTTCAAATAAAAGTCTTTCTTCCTCTCCCTCCATCTCCGCTTTGAAGTCCAAGTCTATCTATCCTTTCCTAAAAATGGAGGGCCAGCTTCAATGGTGGGGGAGCCAGATGGCAAAGAAAGGCTGTAAAAACGGAGAAAACACATCGGACACAAAATCAAAACCAGTGTTCTCTCGTATATGTAAATATCACTGTTGAAGTTGCACTTAGAGCCCAAAGGCGCCTGAGTGTAGGTCTACTGGCTATTCCAATGATTGCCTTATTTCCAAGGGTGAGCAGTAAAAAGCACCTTCATCAGGTCCAAAGAAGGGGAAGAATGCAAAGGGTGTGTGCTCCGTCTTCTTGGGAGAGGCTCCATTACAAGGGAAGAGAAAGAGAGACTGGGGAATGAGAGGAAGGAAGAAAGGGAAGCTTATTTATTTGTGTGTGTGTATGTGTGTGTGTGTGTGTGTGTGTGTGTGTGTGTGTGTGTGTGTGTGTGTGTGTGTGTGTGAAGTCTTGACCATGTTTTGTGGAAGAAGGAGAGATGAAAACTACCGAAGAGCAGCATCCCCAGGGCCCTGAGTGTCTGCTGGGAACGGGGTAGGGTGTTGACGAGGACCACTGCCTAAACTTTGTGCAGCAGCACTGGGAGATGCTGAGACTGTGATCAAGGGTGCAGCATATTTGTCTGGGATTCAGCCCAGTCTTGGCTTTGAAAGTGGTCATGGCTCCCTGGATCCAAAGAGCTCCGTGGGCCCTGGAAGCCACATTGTTGGGAGTTAGTGATGCTGGAGTGGAACAAGCCCAGAGTTGGGGTCAGGTGACCCAGAATTATATTCTTGCCATTTCCCCACAGAATAACTTTGCCAAATCGGATATTTTTCTCTAGACTTTGACTTTTGTTTTTTGTTGTTGTTTTGAAACAGGGCTTCTCTGTGTGACAGTCCTGGCTATCCTGGGACTCGTTTTGTAGAGCAGGCTGGTCTCGAACTTGCAGAGATCAGGCTGCCTGTGCCCACATGCCGGAGTTAAAGGCGTGCACCACTACCGCCCAGCTGGACTCTGACTTATGACAAGAGGGACACACGGATGGTTTCAAAGGGCATTCAGTCGTGGCTTTGTCGCCGAATCTGTATCAAGGAAGGCAGGGGATGAGACAATACAGCAGGAAGACCTTCATTGTAGGAGTGTGCAACTCCACAGGCTCTGAGAAAGGCTTTCTCTAGGGACAAGGCCCCTGCTGATGGAGCATGAAGCGTCTTCATTAGGAATCTTACATTTCGGAGACAGAGAAAATCAACATCAAGAGGAGGAAGGGGGAAAAAGAAAGACGGGGAAGGGGGGGGTCCACAGGTTCATGTAACTGAAAAGATCATTCCCACACGCTTTCGGTATGGTTCCTTAGCAGAGCTCAGCACTGGGGTGTGGTGCCCGTCTCAGCCCGCACCTTTCCATGATGTTTGGAAGCACCGTTCTCCTGTCCTCAGCATGTTCTCCACGAGACTAAAGCTGGCAGAGCTGGTCCTGCAAACAGCAGCTCAGCAGAGAAAAACTTTTTATTCTAACGTCAGTAATACCTTCAACCCAGACTTTGCTTGGCTGTCCAAGGACACGTCTCACTTTAAAGACATTGCTATGGCCCAGGGTCTAGACCTTTGATGAGTCACATTCCTGCTCCTGAAACCAGAGTTGAGGCCAGTCACACTCAGGCTACCTAGACCATGAATGGGGAAAAAAGTACACACACACACACACACACACACACACACACACACACACACACACACGAAAACAAAAACCTCAACAATAATACTATTAGGAGGGCCAGTGGCTGATGGGTGACTCGTAGTGACAGATGTTCCTAAGAGAATGATAATCTGGCAACCCTAATGGGTAAGGTGGAGTATAGAATGTGACCTTCCCTCCTTCTTTTGGGTACAGTGTGTGGCCTCCCCCAGTTCTCCCGGAAGCAGATCTCCAGGATCTTCATGGGACGCCCAGCCCAGAAGGGTACCACTCCGTGGATTGCCATGCTGTCACACCTGAACGGGCAGCCCTTCTGTGGGGGTAGCCTTTTAGGTAAGGAGAAGGTGAAGGGGTGAAGGACCCAGGGCTGGGGACAGGGTGAAAGCTAAGGACCAAGCTTCCCGTGGAAACTGGCCATTTCTGCATTGAGAATCACAGCCCTAGAAAGAGTGTGGAAAAGCAGAAAAGGAAGCCCTCAGCCAAAACCAGGACAAACATACTCCTGTGCTAATTCCTTGAGCTGTGGTGCACTTCCTGGATTCAGGTCAGTCTCCTGACAGACGGCTGGACATGGGTTGTGACCCACAGCACACACATGTGGCACTGAAGTGGGATGTGCCAGAGCTGCCAGATCAGGGAGAACCAGGACATTTACCCATCCCTCCCCCCGCACACACCTATAAGCAGCAGGCCTAGACATCGGGGAAAGTGGGTTTCACAGGGCCTTGGATGTATACTTGAGAACTTAGATCAGATCCTGGACACAGAAGCAGATTTCTAGGCACATACTGGCCAGTCCAGTGGGGACCAAGAAAGGCAAAGGAAAGGGAGATAAACAGAATGCCGGTAACAGAGTAAGACCAAAAGGGCAACACACAGGAGACCTAGGACACAAGAGGGAGATGATGAAGACAGAATAAGACGTAAATAAACGACTTAAAGACAAAATGTTGAAAGCGCAGCCACTGGCTACATCAACCCCCATGTTGTACCTGCTTGGTGTGTTTGGTAATGCAGGAGCAAGGAGAACAGAGTGGCTGAACGGGACTCCTCTGTCCACTCTGCTCTGTTTTAGCAAGTCGATTGAGAGAGTCTGTGTCATTAATTCAATTAGTCACTTTCACACTAATTTCTTTCTGCATATTTAATTTATTTCCCACCAAAAAAAAACGGTGATGTATGACAAGAAGAGAGACTGGTGGGGCCTAAGACACCCAAGGGAGAGGAAAAAATCAGTACAGAAGAAAGGGAGGGAGGAAGCCTGTTGAAGAAACAGAAGAGGAGGAGAGATGGAGAGGAAGGGCCCCAGGCAGTGGAAGGGGGGGGCGTTTGTCGTGTTTCCAACTTTGTTAGGAAGGATGAAGGATGGACTTCACCCATTGCTTTAAGACTTTGAAGTAGGTTTTTTCAAACATCGACTTCCATGTTTTAAATATGTGAATAATATTCATCCTGTGTTGGAACTGGCTGCATGTTTATGTTTGAAAGCGGAAATTCACTTTTCCATCAGCCCAGCTATGAGTTTCTTCACACTTGCCCCTCCCCACCGGCCTGCAGATCTGGAATCCCTGCTTCTGCTACTCTTGTCATGGAAGGGGGTGGATAGGAGAGAGCAGAGAGGTCGGAAAGTGTCTAAGAGACCGAGGAAGAGGCCGAGCACTATCTCTGTGTCCACACTGAGGTTCAGTAGGGGTTGGGGGTGCTGGCAGAGTTCAAAGTTGAAGTTAATCTCTAGGCAAGCCAGAGAATACCACTAGACTCATCTAGAGAGTCCTGCTCTGGGGCAGGATTTCCTAACCTGAGTACCTCAGCCTACCTTACCCGCCATTCTAATAATTCCTGGTCGTGGGCAGGTTCAGGATGTGCCTCATGGAAGAGAGGGTTCTGGGCTGAGATTTGTCCATAACACGTGGCCTCTTCTGAGAGGGACAAATAGAGTCTGGAAGCTGCTCCGGAAACACCCCTCTGCCTTTGACTCTGGGCTATAGCCTGGATCACTGATGCTTACGTCCACCCAGCTCTGTCTACAATGATGTTCTTCTGCTTGGCTCCGGCTGGGTGCGTCCAGGCCTCAGCTGTTTGTGGACTTGCTGTTAGCTCCGTTGAAAGGAAGGGCCAGAAGAAGTTTGACTCCGAGTTAAATAAACGTGAAGGACATACTCCTCCAGGGGAAGATGACAACCAGGGAGCGCGCGAGGCCACTAGTCACGAGACCTGGTACCACTCACTTGCAGTCACTCCAGCCACACAGCTGTTCTGAAGGGCTGGCTCTGAACAGCTGTCCTCAGCCCTGATCGCAGTCAAATTACAGGAGGAGCCTTTCATACACGGCAGCTGGGCCTAAGCCTCTAGCTCCAATGGCCTGGATGTAGGTCACAATACTGACGCCTTCGCTAATATCCAAGGTGATTGCCGTTCTCCTCAGTACTTGCCAAGCTTTCATGTGCATAGGAAATACTTAGGGGTCTTCGGAAGACGTTCTGAGGAACCCCCGAGTGCTGCTGGTGCAGACAGCGGAACTACACCAAACAAGCGAAGCTGGGAAGGAAGGCGGGCCCCACCAGATGTTTGAGGACCCACCTCGGGCTAGCTGGAACTCATCCATACCCCGGGCCTTAAGGAAGCCCGGAAAACCTCTTTTCAATGTCTAGCCTGGCCTAAACTGAAGAGGGAGTTAGAACCACAGACCTAACTCCTCCCTCATCTTCAACTGGGCTCCTGTGAGTGTCTGACTTGGGGCCACGAGCACACTGAAGGGAGGTTTGGACACTTGCAGGGTTTGGGACACAGAACGTGTGTGCTCTGTTCTTCAGGTTCCAGCTGGGTCCTGACAGCCGCTCACTGCCTCCACCATCCACTTGACCCAGAAGATCCAACCCTACACAGCTCATACTTGCTCAGCCCTGCTGACTTCAAAATTATCATGGGTGAGTGAGGGTCAAGACTTCTAAAGCCAGTTGCGGTTCTTGGAACAGAGTCCCCCCCAGCTACCATTTCCAAGGCTCTTCTTTATGAAATAAAGACCACCCGCTGGCTCAGTTCCGTCCAACACTCTGCCACGGTCTAATTAAAAACTAGTGCCTGCCCGTGGCAGCCTATAAACCTTCCAAAACAAGAGCAGGGTCTGCTGTAAGAGTGAAAGCCGGAAGTTTTGAGTCAGGGAAGTTTGTAAGGAGATATGTTTTTTGATGCACATCAAGATTTTTAGTAACTAAAATTTCATTTGGGGAATTAAAAAAAAAATTCTCTTAGCGCTAATTTGCATTACAAATTAGTCTCAGAGGACCAGAAAGATGGGTCTACAGTTGAGAGCACCTGCTCTTAGAGAGGACCAGACCTCCTTTCCCACATCAGCAGCTCACAATCACCTGTGACCCCAGCTCCAGAAGACCTGACACCTTCTTCTGACTCTTGCAGGTACTCGTGTGCATGTGCATGGCACACACACACAGAACACACACACACACACACATGCATGCACACACACATGCACTAAAATAAAACAAAAACTTTTTGAAACACCAACAACAGCATCCAGGAATAAATAGCTTAGAAGCATTTTCAATTTTTTTATTTATTATTTTATTTTAAAAATTAGTTTACAAAGTAATATTGCCGTATGGGGTTGACATATATACATATTTCACTGTGGTTGGTTCTCCCCACCCCCTTCCCTGCTGTGCCTCTTTACTCCCAGTTAACCTCTACTCCACTTTGCTCCACTGCCTCCCCTCCCCCACCCCCTCAGAGGAGCTTTTCCTTTTTCTGGTCACATGGGTCCCATCCTAGTGTCCTGATCGTCACTCACATTTGCTCCTACTGACAGGCACATATTTAACAGAAGCTAGGATAGACACGTGAGAGAAAATGTACAGGGTTTGCCTTTCTCAGCCCGGATCATCACACAGGAAAATCCTCTAATTAAGCAGGCAACCTACGACGCAGACACTAAAGGGTGATTATTATCCCCCGGACAGTGGCCATGGGCATCAGAACAAACATTCTCAGTCGATGCGATCATCAGAGGTGGAGCCCTGAGAATATGTGGGGTTTGACAGGCGAACAGGACGGCTGAGGGGGTGGGGACAGAGAGAGGAGGTATGAAGGCTGGAACAGGTACTAGATGGGACTGGGGTTCCACCTTTCTCTGCACTGTGCTCTCCCTCACACACCTTCCATGGCGCAGGAAAGCACTGGAGGCGCCAGTCAGACGAAGATGAGCAGCATCTGAGTGTGAAGCACATCACCCTGCACCCGCTGTATGACCCCAGCACCTTTGAGAACGACCTGGGTCTGGTGGAGCTGTCAGAGAACCCAAGGCTGAACGACTTTGTGATGCCTGTCTGTCTGCCTGAGCATCCCTCGGGGGAAGGTACCTGTCTTGTTAGAGTTACTGTTCCTGTGGTGAAATACTGTGACCAAAGCAACCTGGGGAGGAAAGGGTTTATTCAGCTTACACTTTCACATCACTGTTCATCATCAAAGGAGGTCAGGACAGGAACTCAAGCAGGGCAGGAACCTGGAGGCAGGAGCTGATGCAGAGGCCATGGAGGGGTGCTGCTTACTGGCTTGCTCCCCATGGCTTACTCAGCCTGCTTTCTTATAGAACCCAGGACCACCAGCTCAGGGATGGCACCACCCAAACTGGACTGAGCCCTCCAAATCAGTCACTAATTTAACAAATTCTCTACAGACTTGCGTACAGCCAGATCCTATAGAGACAATCTCTCCATTGAGACTCCCTCCTCTCAGGTAACTCTAGCTTGTGCCAACAAGAACCAGCCAGCACAGCATCCCTGCCCTGGCTGCATCTCTGTAGTGTGGCTGTGGCTATGGCAAGGCTTTCTTCTCCAGCACTGACGAGACTCTAGTAAGACAGCTCATCTCACAGAATTGCTTCCCCTAAAACAACAAAAGCGGAACTAATTCCACAGTGACACAACAGTAGTAGGGTCGAGGTAAAGGGGCATGCTTGTTTTTCCACACAGGAACACAAAAACCAGCTGAGCAATGACAATAGAAAATTTTAACCAAGTATTGATGAACTAAATAAGCAAAGGGAAAAATCTAAGAAGGAGAGACATGCCTACAGGAAGAAATTGCATATACCCTGGGGGGAAGGGACTGAAACAAGAAAGCCCAAGTTATAGAGCTTAGAAGAGTAGAAAGTGCCTCCCTTTTCTGAAAACCCCATGCATCAAGAGAACCTGCCATTCCATGCTGTCACCCCTGGCATCACCGAGTAGTACACAGAGGAGTGGGTGGGGGTGTGGCTCAGGCTGGCAACAGAACTCTGCAATGGCATGCTTGTCTGGTGTGCACTGGGCCCTAGCTTCAATCCCCAGCATCACACCACCCACAAAGAGTGGAAGGACGAGCTGAAGCTGAGGGCCAGTAGCTGATCTCCAGCACAGATCCAATCATGCCGCTGGCTTTCCTGTGAGTCATCTTGAGGATGCTGCCAGCCTCATTAAGCCTAAGTCCCTCACCTCTAAACTGGACATGAAACCCCAATCAGGCTGGCAATGTTATTAAAATGAAATATCACAAACAGAACATATCCAGCTAAGAGCAGGAGGCCAGCCCGGGGCAGCTGGCCTCCTTCTTATTGGAATTCAGTGTGTCATATCCTCACTCATTTCCTGAAGCTTAAAGATGTTGCAAAAGAAAATGCTGGAATCTGAGAAGTGTTTAAGAGAAGTGAGCCGACAGGAAATATGTAGGTAAGGCTGACTGATTAACCAGGCACTTCGAATATGTACTTCGTATGTACTAGCCTGGCATTCACCTACTTACTTTATTCCTCCTGGAAGCCTTGTACAACATTTTGCCGTGACTTATCACTGTGCCCATAGGTTACGGCACCTCTCAACACCCGTAGAAAAACTTCTTTCTTCAGTAGACAGAGATGAACACAGAGGCCCACAACTAGTCAAGTTGAAGCAAATAAGAGACTATGGAGTTCTCAGCCCTAAATGAGATATCTATATCACACCCCTCCTCCCAGGGTTCAGGGATCACTGTGGAAGAGGTGGGCAGAAAGAATGCAAGAGCCAGAGGTGACGGATGCCCACAGGAAGACTGTTTTGTGGACACAGCAGGGCAGCCACACGTATGGACTCACATTGGTTGTGTTACAGCATACACAAGACCTGTGCAAACCCAAGCCAGACACAATCCGAGCATGCAGAGGGGAACTCGGCACAAAGTCCCACCCCTTACCGAGGAGTATGGGCGATTGACAACTTCTGGGAAAGCGGGGGTGAGGTTATTTAAGGGTGTGGCCTCTAGTAGGTCAACCACACTCCAGGGTAAGGCCACACAGCCAAGTAAAGACTGCACAGATTGGAATTCTTGGTGAAAGAGAGAAAAAAGGGAGAGAGGTCACAAAAAAACGTAGGTAGGGAAGGTGGGTAGATCTAGGACGAGTTGGGGAGAAGGGGATGAATCTGATCAAAATACATTGTACAAATTTGTCAAAGAGCTAAAAAATGCAAAAAGGAGAGAAAGAGGGGGGAGGGAACGGAAGGGAAGGAAGGAAGGAAGGAAGGAAGGAAGGAAGGAAGGAAGGAAGGAAGGAAGGAAGGGAAGAGAGACGCTGAGGTTCACCAACGTCATTAGAAGCAGACTCGAGAGTAGAGCTGAGGTTCTCTGAATCTAAACGCAGAACTGTTTCTAGTACCCAAGGCTCCTCATTAAATAAGAATGCAATTGCTCTCTCTACCCTCAGCAATTGCAATTTTGTCCCCAGATCTGGGACGTCAGAAGCTTATGGAATGTCAGGGCTAGTTTTCGGGATTACCAAGTCCAGCCTCTTCATTTTAGAGATGTGGAGTCTGAAGATGAGGTAGGGGAGCAAATGTGGCCTGACCTGTAGCTGACTAGGCTGGGCTCTTCATTTATTCCCAGTCATTGACCGAGCACCCCCTTCCTACACCCCAACACTGCCGTAGACTTGAGGGTACAACAGGGAACAAGATGGGTAAATTACAGCTCTCACAGAGCCTCGGGTCCTTGCCGGCTGCCAGGAAGGTGAGGTAGACAAACAAAGAAACCAGGTAATGTGTCACAGGAGCGCCGGGTGGCGGCGGCGGCGCACGCCTTTAATCCCAGCACTCGGGAGGCAGAGGCAGGAGGATCTTTGTGAGTTCGAGGCCAGCCTGGGCTACCAAGTGAGTTCCAGGAAAGGCGCAAAACTACACAGAGAAACCCTGTCTCGAAAAACCAAAAAAAAAAAAAAGTCACAGGAGCAAATGCCATCCAACTCAGCAGGCCTCTTGCCCTCTTCCTTCCCTGCTGCCTTTCTCTGAGGTAGCCACGTCAGCTCTTTCCCCTCGGGCAGAGGATGATGCAGCTGGCAGGGTCCATCTTCAGCACACTCCTAATGGCCTTTCTCCTCACCGTGTCTTCTCTCCTCCAGGAACCATGGTCATCGTCAGCGGCTGGGGGAAGCAGTTCTTACATAGGTTTCCAGAGAACCTGATGGAGGTGGGGTTCAGTTTATAGCCTACAAGCGTGACACCTTTGCTGTGCATCAGGCAGGCCCTCCTGCTGTCCACTGCCTGTTGTGGGGTTCGGAGGCTTGGAGAAGGGAAATGATACGAGACCAGGCAGGGACCAGATGCAATTCCAAAATTTAACAGGACTCAAAGTCCCAGAAAGTTTGATGTGTTTGTTTAACTGGACTTGGGTTCCAGTCTCTAAACACCATTCTGTGTCCCTGACAGCTTGTGAAAGTCTCAGAATACGGAAATCCTCCCGGAACACAGCAAGTGTGGGTACCCAGCAGGCTCCTGATTCTTCTGTACACCATGAAAACTGCATACCAAATTGGCAAGAATGGGCCAGACTCCGGGAAACAAAGTTCTTTCTGAAGGGAGCTTCAGCCCTATCATTTCAGACAAGAGGGCTGAACTTGACCTAAGGAGCCATGGTTCCAAGTCTGGGATGCTAGTGACTTCTGTAGTCACCTGAAAGAAGTCATTCCACCCTTTTAGAGTTACAAGGGACAGGGATAGCATCAAACTTACTAGATTTCCTCTAATAACCGCCTGGTTCTGGCCTTACTGGGTTCTATTATGGGGCTGGGTTCTAAATCCTTGACCATACGATATTTTTTTAAATCACAGTTTAAAGTTTTAAACATGTAGCAATCACTCATTGCTTCGTTCATGAACTCCCAGGTGGTTACCTGCTGTCTCCTGTGAACTAGCTACTAGGTGCGCCAGGGAGAAGAGTGGGCAAAAGGGGTGCTCTAGCTCCTGAGCTCCGTGTGTTTACAGTCAAGTGGCACAGACAGGAAGTAGTTATGGGTATGATGAAGGTAATGAAGAAATGCAAGATGCTCAGTGATGTACAAGGGAGATCTGGCCCCATCTTGGAGGCTCAAAATGGCTTCCCAAAGGATGATACTCTTAAATGGTACCTGAATGATGAATAGTAGTTAATCAGGGACTCCACCACACGCTGAAAACATGTCCTCATGACATGGCTTCCTGTCCCCACTTTCTAGGAAGGCCATAGCCCAAAGAGACTCTGCATGGACTTTAGTTCCCTTGTAACAAGAACCCACAGAGGGTGTATGCTCGGAGCACATGGTCCATTCAGTTCTTGCAGTGAGGGAAAGTAAGAAACGAGAGTTCACTACAAAGCAAGCGTGGCAAGCTGTCAAGGACCGAGTATTTGAGGGGGCGGGGGTGGACAGATGAATCAGCAGTTAAAAGCGCTGGTTGATCTTCCAGAGGACCCAGGTTCAATTCCCAGTACCCACATGTCGGCTCGCAATTGTCTGTCACTAGAATTTCGGAGAATCTAATGTCCTCCTCAGTCTTCCACCGGTACCAGGTATGCATGTGACACACAAACATACAAGCAGGCAAAACCCCAGCTGTGTTCAAAATAATAACACTCTTAATTTTAAAAAATACCTAACATCTCCAGATAGTACCTAATATCTATACACTGCCCAAGCACGTGATCATTCATTTCCTTCGTGAAACTGCATGTGATTAGTTTGTCAACCCCTGTGAGGTCCATCTTTAAGATTAGGTATGAGAGTCTCAGTGGTCTAGGAAAGAGATAAAGCCACATGCACCAAGTTCCAGAGCAGGGCTAGAGGAAGCATATGCAAATTAACATGGGTTTTCTATACATTGTGGTAATGGAAGCTGATATGCGCTAGGCAACTATTATTGTCTCCGTATGACAGATAAGATCATTGAGTCTCAAACAGGCCAAGCTGCTTGAGCAAGGTCACAGAGCAAGTCTGTAGCTGAGGCTACAGTGGATGAGTCCCCAGCTCTCCATCAGGGGTGCCGTTACCTGCACCACACAGCAGTCCCTGAAACTGAGTAGAAGGCAGCTGGAGGCCTGCTCAAAGCCATCAGATAGCAAGGTCCCCTCAGCCCGGAGTGGGAACCAATGATAGCCTTGTGTTCCAGATTGAAATCCCAATTGTAAACTCGGACACCTGCCAGGAAGCCTACGCCCCTTTAAAGAAGAAAGTGACCGAGGACATGATCTGTGCTGGAGAAAAGGAAGGTAAGAAGCTGACTGAAATGCGGGCACTGAGAACCTGGGGTGGGAACAGACAGCGGGAGGATGGGGGCGGAGGGAGGGGAGGAGAAAGGGAGGGGAGAGAGTTTCAGAACTTTCAGCATCCCTTCCCGAGCCAGCACTTTGTGGAATCGGCTTGCCTGACCTAGAGCTCGGGTTTGGACCCAATGGCCTGCTGCACCCTCTAGTGCCCGATTGTTTGAACTACAAGTCGGACACGGGTTTGCGTGGGGGAAAGGGGGCGCTGTATTTTATCGGTACTCCCTTCCATCTAGGCGGGAAAGATGCCTGTGCTGGTGACTCTGGAGGCCCCATGGTGACCAAAGATGAAGGGGCAGACCAATGGTACCTGGTGGGCGTGGTGTCCTGGGGCGAGGATTGTGGGAAGAAAGATCGCTATGGAGTATATTCTTACATCTATCCCAACAAGGACTGGATCCAGAGAGTCACTGGGGTGAGGAACTGAGTTGGTTCCCCAGCCCAGCACCCGCTGTGTGGTCAGTCGCCAGCAGAAGATGATCGGTGTGAGTCACATTTCCTCCCCGGCCCTCAATCTTCACTGCCCATGCCTGGGTAATAACGGGATTCCTTCAGCCCCTTCTCCCTGCTCTTGAGAGAGGCCAAGTAGCAGAATGGTCAGGGCAAAAGGCTGGATCTGGGATTCATCACTTAGGATCTTTGTAATGATGGACAGCTGACCACCTCTTTAAGCCTGTTTCTTCACCCATGGGATGCAATGTGACTATACCTTATCTACCTCACAAGAGTATGATGAGGAAAGTTAATATATGCATAGGACTTAGCCCGTGTATGAACTAAACGGTGTGTTCCATACTTGTGACTTAGCGAAAGGCATCTGGGCCCACCAGGCAGATGGAGTTCTCTTATAAACTCCTGCTTGGGTCTCAGGGGTGATTAGTGACACACCCTCCTCCCACCCACCGCTGTTTTCTTAGTCTGCCCCCTAAAATCTAAGCTTCTGCATCAAATGCAGTCCCCCAATCCCAGCCCTAATCTGCCATAAAAAGGTAAAAGAAAGGAAGGAAGGAAGGAAGGAAGGAAGGAAGGAAGGAAGGAAGGAAGAAAGAAAGAAAGAAAGAAAGAAAGAAAGAAAGAAAGAAAGAAAGAAAGAAAGAAAGAAAGAAAGCTCATTCTTAGCCCTATGGTATGACCCCGCTCACACACCCAGCAATGTAATTGGGCACTTGAGCTAAGTACCAAATGGTAAGACTGACTCAGGGAAGCAGAGGCTGGGAAGGAATGGTGGACTATGAAGTCAGATACCTACCAGCCTCTCTCACGTGTCCCTCTACAAGTTCCTTCCCCTCATTTTAAGGACCCTGCAAGCACTGACATTCTAGAATCGAACAAAGCCGTGTTTTCAAAGTATACCCCAAGGAAAATGTTCATTAGGTTCAAAAGACAAAATTCTCCTTGCTGCCCCCGCAATACCCACCTTGGTCCACCACACCCAGGTCCCAAAGGGCATAACCAGATCCAAGTGCAGCCAAGGATCTTCCCTTACTCTTGGGTAGAGTAGTTTCCCGGAGCCCCAACCCCCTTCTCACCCCCAAACATGGACTGTCCAAGGCAGGCCCCGGCAGGCTCGGTCTCAGGCACCCACTCTCTCCCTCCCCACATCCTAGCTGACCTTAAGCAGCCATTGCTCTCATTCCATCTGAGAACCTTCCTCTTTGACCTCACCCAAGACAGAAGATTTTCAAAGGACCAGAAGCCCAGCCCGAGTTTCTGTGTATGAGAACTGTTCTCCATAGAAGGCTTTGATCCTTGAGCTGTGTTGCTGCTGCTAGAGCCTAGGTGAATTTCTGGTGAAGGAGGAAAACTGTGGGGAAGGGGGACTTGTGGGCATCAAGCCCAAGGCTGCACACTCAGGGACAACAATTCACAGCCTGCTTCTGTTCCCCTGAGCCAATCATTCTACCTCTGCGGGGTTTGCTCTTGACTCTACAAGGAGATGGCGCTTGGACCCAATGATGATCAGATACCTCTCAAGCGAGCTGGTACTCTACTATACTGTCTTGTTTTGTGTCAATATGACACAAGCTAGAATCATCAGAGATAGAAGGAGCCTCGGTTGAGGAAATGTCTCCATGAGATCCAGCTGTAAAGCATTTTCTCAACCAGTAATCAATAGAGGAGAGCCCAGCCCATGGTGGGTGGGGCCATCCCCAGGCTGCTGGTCCTGGGTTCTACAAGAAAGCAGGCTGAGTAAGCCATGGGAAGCAAGCTAGAAAGCAGCACCCGTCCATGGCTTCTGCATCAGCTCCTGCCTTCAGGTTCCTGTCCTGGCTTCCTCCAGTGATGGACTATGATCTGGAAGTGTAAACCAAATAAAGCCTTTCCTCCGCAACTTGCTTTTTGGTTATGGTGTTTCATTGCAGCAATAGAAACCGTAACTAAGACATCTATTTCAGTTCCTGATGAAGAGTTTTGATGCAGTTTTGAAACTGCTTCGAGGCAACGAGCCTTCCCATTGCCAGCACTTCCTGAACAGTGTGCTCTTCCAGGTCATGCTGGCTGCTGCATCGGGACTGATGTGGTGAGGAGAGTACAGACCTTGCCTTCCGGAAGCTCCTGGTGGAGGTGTGACACATATGTGACCGCCATATGGGGATGACCCCTGACGAGTCTACTTTAGAGATGTGGAGATAGAAGGAAGCCCATCATGGTATGGAGTTTGAGGAAAGGGAACACTGGCAATCAGTTTAAGGGGAGAAGACCTTCAGAAAGTGTGCATTTCCACAAGTCAGGCCAAGAAGACTCTGGAAGGACAAACAGGAGTCCATGTCTACTCAGGCTTTCCTCAATAATACCAGCTCCTCCCACAAAAATGATATTTCCAGGAAATCAGCATTCAAGCATGAGAGTCAACATCTAAACAGGCCTCTCCTTAGAATCAGAATGCTTAACAACGCTTGAAAAGCCTTGGGATTCTGGTGCAGACACCAACTTCTGGCTGGGCCCAGTTTATCCTATTTATCCTCCAAATTACAACTTCATCCTTATCCTGAGACAATAACTAGCTAATTGGCCCATGAAACTTCAACCTTGTCCAACAAGCATTGGATGATGTGGCAGTCTGAATACATATGGCCTCCATAGGCTCATGTATTTGAATGCTTGGTCATCAGGGAGTGACACTACTTGAGAATGATTAGGAGGTGTGGCCTTGTTGGAGGAAGCGTGTCACTTTGGGTGGACTTTGAGGTTTTCAAAAGCCCAAGCCAGGCCCAGAGGCTCTCTCTTCCTTGCTGCCTGTGGATCCATATGAAAGACTCTCAGCTACACCTCAGCCTGTGTGTGATACCACGCTTCCCACCGTGATGAAAATGGACTAAACCTCTGAAACTGTAAGCAAGCCACAATTAAATGTTTTCTTTTCATAAGAGTTACTACGCCTTTAATCCCAGCACTTGGGAGGCAAAGCCAGGCAGATCTCTGTGAGTTCAAGTCCAGCCTGGTCTACAGAACGAGATCCAGGACAGGCACCAAAACTACACAGAGAAACCCAGTCTTGAAAAACAAAACAAAACAAAACAAAAAAGAAGAGTTGTCACAGTCATGGTGTCTCTTCACAGAAATAGAACACTGACTAAGACAGAAATCTAACTACTGTTGTGATTCAAGAAACCTGACCTCCTAGAACCACAAAAACAGAAAGATAGTATAGCCATAAGGACCACTTTGTCTAAGTTCATAACCTAATGCTAACAAACTTGCTACCTTCAAATCCAGCCATTCCCTAAACAATTCTAAAATGTGCTACCAATAAGAAGGCCTGGCTTCCAGGCAACTGAAATCTACCTCCCAATAAATGAATTTGTGTAACGAAAACTGTGATTTCATACTGTGAGCACTGTTATTAACAATGATGATCATGCCTGGGACTCATTAGTCAAAGAAGCTGCTGTTCTTATGGGAAACTACACATTCGTTCCAATAAACATCTGTGTTGAGTCAAAGAGCCCTGCTTGGCTTGTGTGCTTCTTCATGCACTGATGAGTCTGGTAAGTTGTTTACATGTTTCAAAAATGTGTTCTATTCGATTAGGCTCACTGTACCATGAAGAGAGAGAAACCGATGGGAAGGTTGAGTTAGAGATGCAAAAGCATGTCTCGGGTATTATTGATTCGTTCTGTCTAAAAATCCTACACTATTGTCCCTGCAAATTATCAAGACACCATAAAGCCGATGTCTCAGCACACAAATTATATTACTTGAATACTACCCACATCCAGATCAGAAAGGTTTTTTATTTTATTTTTTCAGTTTGTATGTTCAATGTCTGCTTCAGAAAATATCGAAGCATGTCTACACTGGCATATTCACGATTGGAAGATGCACCTGCTTTCTGCTCTAAGTTAATCTTTTCTACAAAGGCATGACAAAGAAAATAAAAATAAACTACCTAAGATGCTTTTTAAACAAGAGTTAAGCAAGATGCAGGGAGAGGAAATCAGGATCACTCACATACAGAGGTTTAGCAAATCTCAGTCTAGACTGGGTACAGAGACACAGAGAATCTCAGTCTATAATGGGCACAGAGGCACAGAGAATCTCAGTCTGGAATGGACACAGAGGCACAGAGAATCTCAGTCTAGAATGGGTCTTGAAATCAAAAGGTAAGATCTGAAACAGTGAAGACTTCAGTCTATTCATTAAACTAAAAGAAAATATTGCTTGCCTTCTCTTGTTTGAGATTACTGAATCCATGAATTGGCGGATAAGTAAAAAATTAAGAAATTATAAACTTAGACCAAATCTACTGAAGCTTTCACACACATTCTCTAATTGAGCCCCAAGAATAACCTGCGATGCAATTACTCCTGGAATCCCCATTTTGCAGTGAGGCCACTGAGTGTCATAAAGTTCCTGCCACTGAACCTTGAAACAGAAACTCCCCACAGCCACAAACACACCACAGCCCCAGATCTTGGTGTATCATATAATTCTCCACGGCCCCGTTGAACAAGGGCCCATTGAAGTTGATTCTAGAACTGGGGCATGAAATATAAGAGAGCCTGGAGCATCTTATAGTTAGTGCCAGAAAATAAGGAAACATTCAAAAACCTCCTCAATGGTGGGGACATCTCCAAACGGCACAGAGCCAACCGAAAGAGCCCCAGTGGACAAAGCTGGAACAATTTGAGCCACAAAACAAAGTGGTATTGAATAATAATCCAAAATATAAAACAAGGAACCACGAGTGCATATTTTATGAATAAATTGTTTAATGAATACATAAATTGTGAGAGTAGCAAGCCTGCTGTGAAGAAACTTGCCTAGCCCTGAAGGGTGAGCAGTACATGATAGTTTTCTTCGAGAAAGCACAGAATGGGGCTGGGCGTAGCTCGGTGGAAGAGCACTTGCCTGACGTGCACAAGGCACCAGGTTCGATCCCCCACCATACAGGCAGAAGAAGCAGCTCAGTACAGGAGGAAGGAAGGAGCCACTCCACAGTGCAGACACCGACCGACCTTACCTCAACCAGGAAGTGAAGGAGAATAGCGACAATAAGAAGACTGGACTTGGCCCTGCGTCTCTCCATTCTTCTCCGCAAGCTCTACAACTCCTGTCTAGCTGTGAGAAATGTATCAGACACACTGCAACTGAAGAATATTCTACAAAGTATCTGACCAGTGATTTACAAAACTATTCAGGTCATCAAAAAGGAGGAGGAAAGTCACACACACACACACACAAAAAAAAAAAGAACTGTCACAGCCAACAGAAGCTCAGAATGGGTTCTATTATATCTCCCCATAAGACATTGATGCCCTAAACCCTAGTACTTCCACATGTGAATTATTTAGAAATAGCATCATTACCAATGGGATTAATTAGGAGGAGGTCATCCTAGAGCCAATGGACTTTTCATCCAGGACAACTGTTATCCTCCTAAGACATAAACACACAGGGGAGAGCACCATGTCGGTACATACAGAATCCTACAGCCCCAAGTCGGGGAGTGCAAAGAGTCACCATCAAGACCCCAGAAGACAGGAGCAGGTAGGGAAGATCTTAGGGCAACACCTTGATTTTAGACCTCTGGCTTCCTAACCATACCTCAAAGGCTTTAAACATTTAATTGAGGACATTAATATAGGAGACCTCACAAGCAAAAGCTTCTTGTGTGGGATCCTAGAACGGGGGTAGGGGTTGGAGGAATGACTTAGGCAGTGACTTAGGAGACTCAAGCAAACTATGGATTTGATTGCTGGTGATATATCCATGTTGGTTCATTGGATACTGCAAAGCAGCGCTCTAATGTAAACTGATAGAAAGCATTTTTTGAAATGGATTCAGCTAGTGTCTGATATATCATGACTCTCTATGCTGTCATTACAACCTTTGTAAATGAAAACTGTTCTAAAACAGAGACTTTAAAACAACATGTGTGACTTTTCGCCCAGAAGGTAGAAGACACAGGATTTAAAACCAGTTTCTGATGGACTCCGGAGCCTAATCCCCGCGCAAGCACACCAACTTTTGTGAAACGAGGCTACACACAGGAGCCAAATAGACTCTCGGGTCCTTCTCCTGTCTGGGGCAAGATCTGAGCATTTGTGCTTCTTAGAAGACCCCCAGATGATTTTAACAGATGTCCAGTCTGAGAATTGCTGTTCTGAGCCATCCTGTCCCTACGACATGCCCCTTCTGGAAAAATATGAGAGCCATTATTTCCCAGGCTTCAGCCCTTGACTCAGCTGATAGGAAACAGGAATGGGGTAAGGTGTCCTGGTGTTCTAGTCTGTGATCCAGAACGTTCCTGTGGCTCGGTAGCAATACCATCACTAGGACATTTCTGCCTTAGTGTTTTCCTAAACAGAACTCTTTTACTTCCAAGTAATAAGCCAAGGAAAGGAAAGCACCCCAGAAACAAGGGAACAGCATATTGGGGAACAAGGAGAAGAAAAGGACCCTGGGTCTCTGGGGGAAGCTGAGTGACATGGTGTCTCTGGAGAGGCAGACAGGCCAGAGGAAAGAACCCTACACCGTCTGGGGACACTGGGGGCTGTTGGGTTGTGAACAGCCCTGAAAGCTTTGGGTTTGGGGCATGGGGAAACTTGAGCTTTCTGAACAAAGGAGATGTGTGATCAGTTTATCTTTCGAGTGAGGTGTCAACACAGGAAGTGAACTCAGGGAGACCCAAGATGGCTGCAGGACATCAGGCAAGAAGTGTTTCTCAGCAAGGTTGAGCCCCTGGGGAGGGGAGCTCTGTGCATCTGGAGCTCTGAAAGTCTAGGGCCGAGCCTAAAGAAGATGTCTTTAGCTAATCTCACCCTCTGTGAATACTTCCGAGAAAATTAGCAAAACAAAAAATTGAGCAGGAACCAAAACACAAAGGGAGTGATGCTTTCCCAGGTCCCTGGTCTTTGTCTAACCGCTGGCAACATGCTAGGAAGGAAGCGTGGGCTACTCTGAGCTTGAGACACGGAGACAAACAGGGCCTGCGAAGTGCTCTCCTGCATCTGGTATGCATTGGTCTTTTTTTTTTTTCCCCAAAAAAAAAGATCAAGAAAATGTCATTTGGATGCAAAAACATGGGCTCAATTCCCAGCAATGAGCTTCTGATCACAGGGAAGAAGAGCCAGGACCATTTCAACATCAAGGCAGATCACAAAGGCTCCAAGGAAGTTCCCCCAGAGGAGTGGGCGACAAAGCAGTGTTCTGACAAAGAGAAGGTGTGTCTAGTCCAAGTGGTGCCCTGGGCATGCGTGCGTGCATGCTGAAAGACAGACAGGTCAGAACAGGCAGGAGTGTCCCTCCCTGACAGCTTCTGCAAGTCCTGTGGTGGCCCCTACAAAGTAAGAGGTCTCTATGGCATGAATATGGGTAGAACCCCCTGCTCATATGTCAAGGGGTGGCTGCCATAAGGCCTGAGTGAACACTGAGGTTTTTGAAGCTCTGCATATGGTTCTAATGAACATCGTTTGAGAGCCACCGTTCTAGACTATCCTGCCAGAGTGCACCCTCTGAGGAATGTGGGAGCCTGTTTTTCCCAGACTTATGACTTGGATTGAGGTCATTCAGTTGGTAAGAAACAGAGACAGAGGAGGTACCAGGGTAGCGTTGCTCAGAGGTGCTAGAATTTTTAGGAGGTGGGGCTTAATGAGAGATGCTTTGGTCAGTGGGGCTGCACCCTCAAAAGATTGTGGTGATCCATTCACTCCCCTTCTCTGTTTCATGGCTTAAAATATTAGTGTTTAGTCTAACTCACATGCTCTACCATTATTATCCAATGCCTTCAGGAGAACCGGGCCAAAAGAAGCATTATGCTCTTGAGTCTCTAGAACCCATAGCCAAAATAGGTCTTTCTTTTTGTAAGTATCCTGCATCAGCTATTTGTTACAGTAACATGACAGCTAACTGATATAAAGGTTATATCCAGTCTATAGCGATAAACCAGCACCAACCAGAGCAAGTCCTGGGATCCTCAGTTTCCATACAGACACAGCCCAGGCCCATAGGCTGACCCAGTTAGAAAATGGGGACTTTTCTCTTCCCTTGGGTTATTTATCATGCGACATGTGACACCTTTTCCAAACCCTAAAGCCATGTGGCTTATTTAATCCATGCCCATTAAAGGCCATACATGCCCAAGGTCTGCCAATGGGACCCATGACAACTGGATTTATTCCCCTAAACAGCTCTACAACATCTCTGTTTTGGCGTGACCCTGTGTGTCCCTAATTGGCAGTCTAGGCCTCCCACTAAGTCATTTTTATTTTAGTGCATTTTTAAATTATGAAATACTTCAAACACACTGGGAAAAAAATATAGACACTAATCCATGTCCCGCTCGGATGTGATGCAACAGCACTCAGTGTGAGGAATCCCGACAGGATTCCAACTCAAGCAGTGAAATGGTGTCATGAGGGGAGCCAGCTGGGCCCCCTGAAGAGAGTTCTGACGCTGTCTGTGAAGACCTCGAGCCCAGTTCCAGCTCTGTTTCTGGACTCAAACTCTCTATCACATATGTTCTCTGTGCCTCCATCTCAGTCTCCCCCTGTGAATTCCCCTTGTCTTTTCAGCCTCTCTCTGTGGAAAGCCTCGAGTTCCAGTCTTCAGGACTCTTCTCTGCCTGCTCATTCCTGGACAGTGTCACTTAGTCTCTAGACATTTGGTGTCATCTAAACACAGATGACTTCCTGTTTTTCTCTAGCTTGGACCTCCCTTCTGATCTACTGATACCTCACCATTTCTTTTCTTTTTTGGTTTTTTCGAGACAGGGTTTCTCTGTGTAGCTTTGTGCCTTTTCCTGGAACTCACTTGGTAGCCCAGGCTGGCCTCAAACTCACAGAGATCCGCCTGGCTCTGCCTCCTGAGTGCTGGGATTAAAGGCGTGCGCCACCACCGCCCGGCCCTCACCATTTCTTATATCCAATGTCTAAAAGAATGTTTAAAGAAAATCCTAGGGGCTGGAGAGATGGCTCAGATGTTAAGAGCAATGACTGCTCTTCCAGAGGTCCTGAGTTCAATTCCCAGCAACCACATGGTGGCTCACAACCATCTGTAACGAGATCTGGTGCCCTCTTCTGGCCTGCAGTCATACATGCTGTATACCTAATAAATAAATAAATCTTTGAAAAAAAGGAAAATCCTAAACATCCCATCCCAAACCATTCCCCCAGTATTGCCCCAAATCATTCCTTGTGGTAGCCCCCATCTTAGGAAGTGGCAACCCCATTCTTCCGGTTGCTTAGGTCAACCCCCAGGGCCCTACACCTCTCTCCCTTATAAAGCTCCCTGAGTCATCAGAAGGTCTTCTCCACTCCGCTTTTAAAATGCACACACTTGCTGACCCCACAGTGCCAGCCTCCACCCTACAACAGACCTCCATTGCCTCGTGCGAGCATATCCTCAATAATCTTTCCTTTTCTCAGCCTTGTCCCTCAGCAACCTATTAACACAGTGTCAGTCAATTAGATAACATCACTCCCTGAAGGTGGTCTAAATGACAAATGTCCCTCATAGTCTCTGGCATTTGAATTCTTGGTCCCTAGTTGGTGCTGTTTGTGGAGGTTTAGGGGTTGTGGCCTTGCTGGAAGAAGTATGTAACCAGAGTTGGGCTAGAAAGTTTAAAGGCTCATGCCATTTGGGGTTCACTCTCTCTGTTTCATGTGGTTTGATGTGAGCTCTCAACTGTTCTAGCTACATTGCCTACTTGATACCACACTTCACCATTTGATGGTGACAGACTCTTTTTTCCTCATAAGCCCAAAGTAAACCCTTCCTTCTATAAGTAGTTTTGGTCGTGGAGTTTTATCACAGCAATACAGAGTAACTAATTCAGGAGATGATACCAGGATGGAGGCTGGTGCTGTGGCACATATGACCATACTGGTCTTTGGAGGAATGGGGGAGGTTCTGGGACTTTGGGCTAGAAAGGTGGTTGAACATTGCAAGAGAGGCTTATTGGGCGATCCCAGCAGTAGCTTGGAAGACAGTCATGCTGAGAGTTAATGTGGACTGTGGAGGACCAGATTAAGAGGCTTCAGAGGGGAATATTATTAATACCTGGCTAGAGACCATCCTTGTGATAGTTTGGGAAAGAATGTGACTGTTTTCTGTCCTTATCCTAAGAACTTGCCTAAGGATAAATTTAATAATAAGGATAAATTTTAAAAATTGAAGAAATAAGGATAAAGCAATGGACTAATTTCTTTGGCAGAGGAGATTTTAAAACAGCCTAATGTTGACCCTGTCACATGGTTTGTTAGTGATCACTCTTATGCGGGCTTTATGTCACAGCCAAAACTTTTATTACAAGAGATAAGCTTGATACCGTTAAGGAGGTGCCAAATCTGCAGTGGAATAAAGGGAAGGGTGCCATTAAGGCAAGACCTTGTCCAGCTGAGTCCCCACCTTGTGAAAGGAAAAGGCCTGAGAACATTCTGCTTCTAGACATGAACAACAAACACAAGGTGCTGCAAATGTGGTTCAAGGAGTTGGGGTTCATCCTAGGTGGATACCCAATTTGACAGTGTCGTCTGCCTGGTCCTGACTTTAGAATCATGAATACCATATGAGTAAAGGGGTCATGGAATCCTCCCCTATAGTTTCAGAGAGCCACTGAGGCCAAGCGTGTGGCAGGGGTGTCCCTGCATGGAAGCCCTGAGAGGCCATTGTGTTCAACTGTGAAAGTAGAGTCTGGGTTGCACTGGAGACATCAAGATGTGGCAGATGCCAGGGAGTCTTGAGATATCTGCCAAAGGGAGTAGCACGCAGGCAGTGGCACCAGCCCCAAAGACAGGAGCCTGTCACAGGCAGCAAAGCTGGGAGGGCGGAGCCCTCTGAGCCCTCTGACATCAGACACGGAGCTACAGGATGGGGGGTTTGCCCTGCTGGGTTTCAGTCTTGCTTTTTTGGTTCAATATTTTACTCACTATACCCCCTGTCTTTCCTTCTGGAATGGCAATGGATATTCTGTAACATTAGATTTTGGAAGTACATCATTTGCTTTTTGATTTTACAGGATATTCCAGTTAAGAGATTGCAGCTGATCTCCGAAGAGACACTGGACTTTGAAACTTTGAAGAGTGTTGAAGCTGAAAGACTAGGGGACTTTAGGAGCTGAGCTCAATGCATTTTGTATTACAATATGGCCACAAGTGTACGGGAGCTAGGGAGTATGGTGTCGTGGTTAGAATGAGAAGGGCTCGAGTCTCTGGCATTTGAATATTTGGTTTCCCATTAGTGCTTCCTGGGGACACTTAGGAAGTGTGGCCTCGCTGGCAGAACTATGGCTGGGGGTGGACTCTGAGAGTTTAAAGACTCAAGCCATTTCAAGTTCACTCTCTGTTTCCTGCTTGCAGTTTGAGATGTGAGCTCTCATCTGTCCCTGAGGCTATGCCTGGTACCTGCTACTGTGCTTGTCCACCAGGATGGTGATAGCCTCATCCTTCTGGAACTAGAAACCCTAAACAAACCTTTCTTCTATGTTTCCTTGGCCGTGGTATTTTATCACACCAATAGAAAAGTAACGCATACACCCATTGTTCAACTCCAGTGACTTCCTGTCTGATTTATATTAAAAACCAACATCTCGGCAGTGGCTTAGGTCTGTGATCTGTGGGTTATATGCTCAGAGTCCACTTCCAGTTCTTTTACACTCCAGTCACAGGATTGCTCCTATTTCAAGGCCTTGGCACGAGCCACTGTTCCCAGTTCCTTCCATTCTCCTTTCAAATGTTCCTTTGTTACTGAGACCCTCGCTAGCTATCCAATCCAAATGTGCAACTCCATCCACTTCTCTTTCTATTCGTTGTACTTTATTTGTCCTTCTAATCTTAAAAAAAAATGATTTAACATGTCATCTGTCTTATTACTAGCGAGTCTACCCTCATCAGCAGGAACTAGTTAGTCTACTATCATCAGCAGGGACTAGTTAGTCTACTATCATCAGCAGGGACTAGTTAGTCTTTTAGCTCTCTGTTATGTACTGCATGCCTAGAACAACGTGCAGCTCATTTAAAATATGCACTCAATAGACATTTGTTGAGTGAATAAACCCTGCACATAGCAAATATCTTATTACATCTGAGACTATTTACGAATCCATAGAAAAGCCAAAGTAGAGAATTAGCAGACTTATTATAAAAATGAGGAGATAAAACTGCCGCCCCGCTAAACCAGTATACTTCCTACCTTCACTCTGAATACTTATCCTTACTCCCTCAGACAAGAACAGCTCTCACCCCTCATCAAAAGAAGTTTCCTTTTTCAGCAGACAGAGGCCATCACAGAAATCTACAGCTGATCAAATTGCCAGGAACAAGTGACCAGTAGATGCCCAGTCCCAGCCAATACATGTGCAACGCAATCCCTCACCTAAGGTTCGGGAACCATTGCAGAAGAGGCAGCACAAAGATACGGGACACCAGAGAGCCTGCTGTGAGAGAGCATCTTCTATGTGAGGCAGGGACACTGCACCCTTGAAACCTCAGCAGTCTGGTCACCTAAACAAGACAATGACAACACGAGTGGACATGGAGAACACCAAGGTGGGGCATCTCATAAGGTCTTTCCCCTCCATGAAGAGCTGTAGGCGATCAGTGGCTTCTGAGAGAGGGAGAATCAGTCCTCTCCAGAGATGAGCTTCCTAAAAAGACTATCCGCTCACAAGCAGCCCAAAACAAATATGCATATGAGCCGCATTAAACAGACTCAACAAGCTGTACTTATATACACATATGTGTGTATAACAGTTATTGAATAAGAGAGAAAGAATTTGAGAGGAAGTGGGAAGGACACGATGGGGGAGTTGGGGATAGGAGGGGGTGGAAATGATATAAGTACGGCACTTGTGTATAAAATTCTGAATGGTTTTTAATGGCCTGAATAAAAAAGATCATGAGAGAATAAAACGCAAGCTGAAACTTCATCATTACCACCCGGGTCTCTGCATAAGGCCAAGCCTTTCAAGGTGACTTCCTTTCAAAATAACCATCTTTAGAGGAAGACAAGGGTGTTAGATAGATGAAAGTTTGCTTCAGAAGAATAAAGGGAAGGAAGATGCTAAGAATTTATCAGGTAAGAAAGACAAACTCCAGATGGACAAAGGCATATGGAAATCCTGGGGTAACAGTTCTGTAGTCCATTGGAAGGATCAATGTCAAGAAGTCCCTGAAGATGGCCAAGGACAGGGATAACTGAACAGGGTGGAAGCAAGGTCAACATGTGAAGGACCCTTCAGCTGCTCCCCCTTTGCTCTACAAACACGAAAACTGAGACTTTATGCAGGAGAAAACCCAGGTCACCTGAGGCCAGCAGCCCAGGTAATGGTGAGCCAGCACGACAAAGGTGTCTCACTCCCGGGCCAGTGAGATTTCTGCACCAGACACACACACACCTGCCTCCTCGGGGAAAATCAGGGGGCTTTCATTCCCCTGCTGCATTTGCACCAGGACCCAAACAATGCCAGAAATGACTCCAAAGGAAATTCCTCAGCTGGGAGTCCAACAGAGAGACAGAATGAGACTTGGAAAAGCACTAAATTCTTCCCGGGGTATTGTAACCAGTAAGAATGGAGCCCCCAAACCACTGGTGTTTTCTGTTGAAATTCTTTTAAAATAGCAATCTTTGAAGAACGAAGTGTGGTCACCATGCTTCTAGAAAAGTGAAGTCACTGCTGTGAAATAAATAGAAAGACAAGAAAAGAAATCACTGTGGATGTGTGAAAATAAGCCTGCTCTTAACCTGGGCTGGGAACTCGATCCCTGTGGCTTGCTTTTTCCTTAAGCATTGACCAACAGCATTTGACTGAAGTCACAAAGCAGAGAGAGTCTATCAGGGCTCAAAGGAGAGGAGACTAATTAAAGGGTGAAAGGGCATGTGCATTCAGTAAAAAGCATGTGCTGTGTGGCAGGCATGGCCCCAAACAGTACTCTATCTTATGGCATTATCCCCATTTTGTTGGAGGGAGGGAAGAGACTCAAAATGCTCAGATAACTTACTTAAGGTATGGGCTGCTAAGAAGCAGGGTTAAGCCTCAAGTGATTCCCAGCCCCATGTCCTATGACCTTCTTTGAACCCTTGACACACTGTGCTGGTCAGGCTCTTAATTTGTCTAGGCTACGGGTCCTCATCTATAAGATACGCGTCCTGTATCTTTATTTTACAGGTGCGTTAATTTTCCTCCTGTTAAGTTTCTCAGGTCTCGGGACTGAGGGGACTTCTCCAGAAGGCCACCACCCTGTCCTCGTGGGTTTGGGGACATAATCAAGGCAGTACTTCTTGCTGACCCTGCACTAAGCATTCCAGCCCCTGGAGCTGCGTGTAGTGCCTATAGGTCTCCTCTTGGTGTGAACATCAAAATCAGTGCGCAGGCACTCCAGTGGGAGAAGGGCCAGGCTTCTGGAATGTTCCCTGAGGAGTTTATTTATAACACAGAGTACATCTAACAAGTTCATCATGTTGCATGTGGCATGTGGAACCGTCCTAGAGAATTCTGCAAAGACAATGAGCCCACAAGCAAGCCTGGAATTCCCTCTCTGTCACAAGTATGGGGACAACAGGGGAGACAAGTGAGAGCAGAATATGAAAACCCGAAGCACCTCCCTGCCACGGCAGGAAGTGTCCTGGGAAAGCTGCAGAGTCCATCTCTAGGTAAAGGTTGCAATCTGTTGTGTAGTAGTTTTGTCCTCCTTTAAACATTTTTCTCTAGGAGTTGAGACCCCTTAAAACTCAGGAACTAAATGAAACTTACAAGCTTGGAAAGTAGACAAAACTCACAAATCTCAGGAAAATTCTAAATCTCCCAAGATGCACAAGACCCCTCACCAAGGTAAGTAGTCATAATTGCCAGGGAGAGTCCCATCCTCCAAAGGTCCTCTAGGTGGTGCAGGAAGCTCCAGGGTCACCGCTTTTGTGGGTCCTCACCCGCACTTGAGGGAGGACACTCTTTCAGTGTCGCAGCTGCCTTCGAGTTCCTCATACTTCTGTAAGTAACCCCAATAAACATTTCACTAAGCTAGTCTTGGGTGGACTTCTTTCTTTATTTGGGGTGAGTAGATGTTGGTCTAGTGTCTCTCTAGGAAAAGACACAGCAGACTCCTTGCTCTGCATCTCCTTACATGTTTGGGGACAAAATTCTTCTACACTCTGATCACGTTTTGTCATCTGGGTAATAAAGTGACTGAGTCTCTAATGGGTCTTCCAACAATTGTATTCATGACTTTGCAAATATTTGCTTTCCGAAATGTAGAAGGCATGCCATTCCCTGTGCTCACACAGAAGCACAAGGGGGAACAAGAATGTTAAACACACAGGATTGTCTCTTCGAAAGGAGAGATGTGTAACCTATTTTCCACCCAGAAGGCTGGGAAAGGATGGAGTTAATAGCCTAGTGACCTTTGCTCTCTCTGTATGGCCGAGACCACACTGGCTCCTCCCCCACATCCTTATCTTGAGGTTGTTTTCTCAATTGATCTACAGAACCTATCTTTATGGAAGATGTCCCATGTACTTTACAAAGAATTTCAATATGATCATGTCTTAAGCTTTGTTGAGCATACAGGATTGAGTTAATTATCACCAGGAAAAAAAAAGTTTTTTTTTTCCAAATTGTGCTGTGCTTAAATATGCCTAAAATAAATGACTAGGAGTCAGAATCTGGAAGTTTGAACCAGCACCAGCTACTGAATTGTGTTGAACCAAACTGCCTTCTTGCCTCTCAGGGACCACTACTGTGCTTGCTGTGGTGTTTGCAGAGACCCCCACACTCAAACCTAAACAGCCTTAGAGTTATAAAGAGGGTCTATGAGAGCCAAAACAGAGCAGGCAACAAGTATTCTCAACAGAAACACCGGGTTTATCATCGCATTAACAAAATGGAGAGGAAGTAATGGATACAGGAAACTAGAGACTATTGGAATTCACCTGACAGAGAGAAAAGAGGAACAAATACAACTGTGAGAAGAAGTGTCCCCACTGCCCTGTGCGGAGCTGGTTCCATGGCAGTAACCACACTGTCCTGTGCAGAGCTGGTTCCATGACAGCATCCCCACTGATCTGTGCAGAGCTGGTTCCATGGCAGCATCCCCACTGCTCTGTGCAGATGCTGATTCCATGACAGCATCCCCACTGCCCTGTGCAGAGCTGATTCCATGGCAGCATCTCCACTGCCCTGTGCAGAGCTGGTTCCATGACAACATCCCCACTGCCCTGTGCAGATGCTGGTTCCATGACAACATCCCACTGCCCTGTGCAGAGCTGGTTCCATGGCAGTAACCGCACTGCCCTGTGCAGAGCTGGTTCCATGACAGCATCCCCACTGATCTGTGCAGAGCTGGTTCCATGACAGCATCCCCACTGCCCTGTGCAGAGCTGGTTCCATGACAGCATCCCCACTGCCCTATGCAGAGCTGGTTCCCATGAGGCCGAGAACAAGAGGAGCACTTAAAGGCATTGCAGGAAAATGGTGTACTAGGAAACTCCAAGCCTGTGTTCCCCCACAGAAACATTATAAAATGACTAGAAGATGGCTAAAATAACCTTATAGATTATTATACAACCCTGGAGCTCAGTCAAACACATGGAAATCTTAGGAAACGTTTTTTTTCTCCCCTCAGCTCACCTCTCTCCGAGAGGGATTGGAAGGGACCTTAAGCTCAAAGTCTAGACTTTATCTGCAATATTCTAGTCTGTCTTAAAGGACTGGCCTCTGTCTTGCTATGGTCTCAGATGGAGTGCCGCTCTTAAGGCAGAAGAGAGACTATACACCTACAGATACTTAAAACAAGACATTACATATGGAACCAAAGAACAGAACAGCAAGACTCGGAGACACTGGAAACTGAAGAGATTCGGCAGCAGCTGTACATGTGAAGGACTTGAAAGGCCACAAGCCCAGGCACAGGATGCCCAGAGAAGACTCAGGGAGACCTCAGCGTTGACTTCTTGTGTACTCACTGAGTGAAAAACTTCTGTGGCCCAAAGCTAGTCTGCAAAGACTGGGAGAGCTGACTATTTTTCTAAATGCTGCTCTTTACTATTTTATTTATTTATTCATTCATTTATTTGGATGGATAGATAGATGATAGATAGATAGATAGATAGATAGATAGATAGATAGATAGATAGGTAGGTAGGTAGTGGATGATAGGGAGAGAGATAATAGATAGATAGATAGATAGATAGATAGATAGATACATAAATACATAGATACGTAGATACATAGATACATAGATACATAGATATGATGATGGATAGATAGATGATAGATAGATAGATAGACAGTAGATTAATTGATAGATGATAGATACATGATAGATAGATAGAGATAGATAGATAGAGATAGATAGATGATTGATAGATAGATAGATAGATAATGATGATAATGGATAGATAGATGATAGATAGATAGATAGATAGACAGTAGATTAATTGATAGATGATAGATACATGATAGATAGATAGAGATAGATAGATAGAGATAGATAGATGATTGATAGATAGATAGATAGATAGATAGATAGATAGATAGATAGATAGATGGATAGATAGATAGATAATGATGATAATGGATAGATAGATGATAGATAGATAGATAGATAGATAGATAGATAGATAGATAGATAGATCAGACAGACAGTCTGAGTGTACAGGTATATGTGCAGTCACATGCACATGCCATGGTGCATACATGGAGGTCTATCCTAGTTTTCTTTCTATGGTTGTGGTAAACACCATGACAAAAAGCAACTTGGGGGATGAGCTGGCTTACACATCCCAGGTCACAGTCCATCACCAAAGAAAGTCAGGGCAAGAACTCTAGCAGGAACCTTGGCAGCAGGAGCCAAAGCACAGGCCATGGAGGAATGCTCCTTACTGGCTTACTCTCCGTGGCTCACTCAGTGTGATTTCTTTTTTCTTTTCTTTTCTTTTTTTTTTTTTTTTTTGGTTTTTTGAGACAGGGTTTCTCTGTGTAGCTTTGCGCCTTTCCTGGAACTCACTTGGTAGCCCAGGCTGGCCTCGAACTCACAGAGATCCGCCTGGCTCTGCCTCCCGAGTGCTGGGATTAAAGGCATGCGCCACCACTGCCCGGCTCAGTGTGATTTCTTATATAACTCAGAATCACCTGAGTGGCATCACCCACACAGGACTAGGCCCTCCCACATTAACCATCAATCAAGAAAACGCCCCACAGACTTACCTACAGGCCAATCTGATGGAGACATTTTCTCAAATGAGTTTTCATCTTTCCGGCTAACCCTAACTTGTATCAAATTAATAAAAACAACTAACCAGCACAACAAGGTCAGAGGTCAATTTTCAAGAGTCTGCTCTCCCTTACCACGTGAGTCCTGGCAATCAGCTCGGGGGGGGGGGGGGGGGGGGGGGGGGCAGGCACACTTACCCACTGAGCAATCTTGTCAGCTTGAGATGCTCCATTTTAAACAAAGGACATCACCAGAAGAACTAAAGAAAGGATTCAAGCACACATCTGCACATCACTGTTCTCAGCAATGTTATACATAATAGCAAAAGACAGAAGCAAGGCATTGTCCTTCGGGGAATAAATGGATACAGAAAAATGTGGTGTGTATGTGGGCATCTGAACTTGAGTCTTCTTTGCTCTCTCCCTGGATTTTCACCTCCTGTTTCCTTCATCAGCTTGTGCCATCCGCCCAGGTCCAGACTTTTCTCCTTCCTTTGGTGAACAAATGTTTCATAGATTTGAAACTTGGTCCATACTCTGGGCCTTTTCACCTCCCGTGAATTCTGAAGGCTGCTTTCCATCCCCACAGGTCTACAGAGCAGCTCTCACCCAGTTCACAAGCAGGTATCGTATGGCTACACACAACACGTTGTTTTAAGCCTTGTTTTTGTAATCCCGCAAAGAGTTCAACACTAATGACCAGCTCTGGTCTTTACTTAGTTTCCCGGACACATGCTTCTTGAGCCACCATATCTTTTCTGCTTCCTTCTTTCCGTCCTCCCTATTGGTTCCCTGCTTCTGCAGATTCCCCTCTTGAGAGGATGCTCTTCTGGGTCCCCTCTCAAGCGGGTGCTCAGCAGAGTCCCCTCTCAAGTGGATGCTCTTCTGGGTCCCCTCTCAAGCGGGTGCTCTGCAGGGTCCCCTCTCAAGTGGATGCTCTTCTGGGTCCCCTCTCAAGCGGGTGCTCTGCAGAGTCCCCTCTCAAGTGGATGCTCTTCTGGGTCCCCTCTCAAGCGGGTGCTCTGCAGGGTCCCCTCTCAAGTGGATGCTCTTCTGGGTCCCCTCTCAAGCGGGTGCTCTGCAGAGTCCCCTCTCAAGTGGATGCTCTTCTGGGTCCCCTCTCAAGTGGATGCTCTTCTGGGTCCCCTCTCAAGCGAGTGCTCTGCCGGGTCCCTTCTTGAGTTCCTTCCATTTTCCCCTCTCTCATTTGTCTGTGTCTCCTGGATGACCTCATCTCTTCTAACCCCTTCGTTTGCTTTGTGAAATCTGTGTCTTGAGGCCGGCACGCTCCTGGGCTCGGACACCAATGTCTCTCTTGTCATTTCCATTTGACAGTTCCACAGACACTTTAGGGTCAACATATCCAAATGGGTTACAAATTCAGTTTCTTTTCTGGAAGTTTGTGACGTTTATCATCCTAACCACGTTAAGTTGTACAATTTAGTGACATTAAGTACATTGACATTACTGTGTAATCTTCATCACTATCCATTCCTAGAACTTTGTAATTCTCCCAAACTGAACCTCTGCTCCGATTAAGTGCTCCTTGCTGTAGCCCTTTTCCAAACATGACGTACAGCATTCCCGGGGGAAAGCCTGGTGCGCTCTTGGTTGCAATGCGCGGAGGCAGCAGCTGATCTAAGGATAAAGGGGAATGTATTCGGAAAGTGTGGGAGGAGGTATTCATCAAATTAAGCACACACACAGTGCTGGGCATGCGAATAAAAGAAACTCCCAGTCATGTTGGGAGGCCACCACTGGAATGAATATGTTCCATTTTTAGGGCTTTTTAAAAAAATCATTTTGAATGTCACTGGATTTCCAATCACTGTCTGTCCATGTTTCCTGTGGTTGAAAGACAAAGATACAGACCTCCGTAATACCCTTAAAGCTATATTCCACAAGGGACCAATTATTTCTGAGAAAGGAAGTCAGAATGTTAGCTGGACCCAGCTCACAAAGAGGCATGACATGATCCGAAATTCAAAAAAATCAAAAACTAGAACTTTTACCCCAAGAAAGTCAGAGAAAGAATACAAACGTTGTTTGAAGATCTCTTTGGCGCGCCACAACCTGGAGTGAGTTAACTCTCCACAGAGTGAACAGTCAGCCAGAGATCAGAGCTGGAGGAAAGGCTCTGGTCGCCATTGCTCCAAATGATGCTGAGGTATCTGACCACCGGCCTTACCAGTGGTCCTGTGGAACCGTTTGTGGCTTAACATGAAATGCCGGTCACCAGCAAATGTGTCCACTTCTTGTCTCTCAGCTGGTGGCACTATTTGGGTATTTTGTAGAAACAACAGGAAGTGGGAATCTAGCTAGCAGTGATTCTCAACCTGTCAGTTGCAACCCTTTGGGGGGTTGAGCGACCCTTTCACAGGGGTCACATATCAGATTTCCTACATATCAGATATTTACATTATGACTCATAACAGTAGCAAAATTACAGTTAGGAAACAGCAACAAAAATAATTTTATGATTGGAGGTCATCACAACATGAGGAACTGTATTAAAGGGTCTCAGCATTACGATTGAGAACCACTGAACTAGAACAAGCTGCTTAGTGATGATGATGGTCCTTAGGGTCTCCTGACTGTGCTGTTCTTCCCAATTGCATGAGGCTGAGTGACCATGGACTCAGTCCTCTGAAACTGTAGGGAAAAACCAATAGTTCCTCCCTTGTGGTTTTCTCTGAGGTAGTCTGATCGTGGTGCCAAGAAAGTAACTAATAGAGAAGCAAGGGACAGAACTGAGATCACGTGACCATACCTGACCATGTGGTATGGGATGAAGACTTTGGGATTCTTGTTCGAAGAGTTTAAAGAAGCAAATTGGAAAGGGCTTCAAATTCTGCTGAGCAGAACTTAGTGGGTGATTCTGGTTAGTGTCCAGAAGACCAAAGCACCACTAGGAAGTGGACAGTAGAGGCCACATAAGCTTTCAGATAGAAGGAGGACCCTGTTGACAATTTAACTAGAGGTCATTCATGTTACTTTTGGGGTTAAAAAAGGATGGTCTACTGTGGTAGTTTACACGTCATTGGCTCCCATAATCTCATAGGGAGTGGCACTGTCAGGAGGTGTGGCTTTGTTGGAGTAGATATGGCCTTGTTGGAGGAAGTGTGTCACTGGGGACACAGGCTTTGAGGTTTCCTATGCTCAGGATACCATGCTCAAGATACTGCCCAGTGTCTCAGTCAACTTCCTGTTGCCTGCAAGATGTAGGACTCTCAGCTATTCCTCCAGCACCACATCTGCCTGGATGCCACCATGCTTCCCGCCATGATGATAATGGACTGAACCTCTGAAACTGTAAATGAGCCCTCTCAATTAAATATTTTCCTTTTAAGAGTTGTCATGGTCATGGTGTCTTTTCACAGCAATAAAACCCCTAAGACATCTACATTCTCAATGTTAGACAAAAATACAAATTTTTATTACAGGATAAACATGAGCCTTTAGGGTCCAGGAGTAGGATACTATGATTTGAATACAAATTGTTCTCCACAGGCTCACATGTGAAACATCTGGTCTCCACCTGCTGAACCATTTAGAAAAGTTCTAGAAATTTTTAGAAGTGGGGCCTAGCTGGAATGCGTAGGTCACTGGGATTGGGCTCTTGGAAGGGCTCTCCCTTTTCACATTCTGTTTTTATCCACTGTGAGGAAGTACCTTCTACTACCGCATGTTCCTGCCACCGTGACGTTCTGTCCTAGCACATGGAGCAAAATACCAGTGAGAACCCTCAAAGCCGTGGGGCAAAACAACCCTCCCTGACACTGGATTCTTGGGAACTTTGGTCACAGTCACAGGAAGCAATTGATGTGGAGACCAGGCTGCTAATTTAACAACAGCTCCGTCTATTGTCTTTGCCGCTGGTTAGTGTTTGTTGGTTGGTTGGTTGGTTTTTGTTATGTCAAGTTGGCACTCACTAGAGTTTTCTGGGAAGAGGAACCTCATTTGAGAAAATTCCTCCATCAGATTCCCTGGAGACAAGACTGTGGGACATTTTCTTGATTAACAATTACGTGGCAGGGCCTGGGCAGTGCCACCCCTGGGCATGTGGTCCTGGATTCTATAAGACAGGAGGCCGAGCAAGCCAGTAAGCAGCATTCCTCCATGGGCGTGGCCTCAGCTCTGGCCTCCAGGTTCCTGCTCTGCTTGAGTTCCTGGCCTGAATTCCCTTGGTGATCCTCCGGAACTGTAAGATGAAGCAAACGCTTTCCTCTCTGAGACGCTTTTATCCACAGTGTTTATCACATGGTGTTTATAGAAAGTAAATTAAAACACTCTCTTTGCTCCGCCCTTCCTAAGCCCTGATTCCTTGGGTCATATTCCTTCATAAAGAGCCAACCCATAAGCCCCTGCCTTACACTCAGAGTTCTGGGGGATCCAGACAGAAGTACAGGCACAAGAGACCAGGAATAGGGTGTGAGGTAGCATGCAGGCTGCGGCAGGAAACAGCATGTCAAAGGGGGCCTGACTGAGGATGAAACTCAAAAGGACTTGAGGGAGGTCAGAGAGTGAGCCAGAGCCTTTGAAAGACCATTCCTGGCAGCAGGAACAGGGCAGACAGGCCCTAGGGCAGAGCATGCCCAACGTGTATGAGGAACAGCACATAGCCAGTGTAGCTGCGGAAGTGGTGGGAGGGGTGATAAAAGCTGCTGTAAGATAATGAGAGCCACATCATTTCCGGCTTTTACAGAATGGGCAAAGGTGCAGAGAGATGACAGGGCCTGACTCAGGTTAAAGAATCCCCCAGCTGCAGGGCTGAGAAAAGACCCAGGCGAGGAGAAAGGAGCCTCCCTGTGCCCATTCCACTTGTGAACTGGTGACTGCAAAATACAAATCCTTCAGAGGAGGCTCACAAAGAAAAAGACTTCGTCACTAGGCAGAGCTAGCTGAAGAGGGCATGAGCTGCCTTGACCAATGATGATCTCCCTGCCATCTGGGGTATTCAGAAACAGGCTGGGTAACCTGGCACCGGGACATGCCCTTGAGGAACCAGGCTTCATGTGGCTGAGTACAGGTTGGGAGGGGGAAAGACCTCAAGATGTTTTTAACCCCAAGACAGGGCACCTGAGCCAGAGAGAAAATGAGCAGCCTCAAGTCCCAGAGGGAATCAGTCCAGAATTAAAACAGAACCCACAGCTTCCAGTGCCTGGAGAGTTCAGCATCGCTTGTCTGATTCCATGCTACCACCTGAAACAAACGAACTCTATCCTCCACATGCTTTGGTTTAAATCTTTTATTCAGGGCAGGTGAGTACAAGATCTAGGAAAACAATTGGTGATGTGGGAAGAGGACTGAACTTATTGTCATGAGCACACACTACAGAAGCAAAGGTCTGGCTGTAGATGGCCATGCTCACTGGTTTACTTAGTCATTCAACAGAGTTTTACTGAGCTCTTATTACGTGCTCAATAGAGGTAAACACGATGCACTGAGTCTGTGCTATTTGGAACCTATATTCTAACGGGGGTACATCCAAGAATGAGGGATTACAACAGGTCTGATGGGTGTTCTAGCAAGAAAGAAAGACTCGGTCATGGAGACCCAGGGGCGGGATGATGTCACTGTAGCAACAGATCGCCATGGTGGGAAGGATAAAGGAGGATTACATTCCATGAACACAGAGGGAAAAGCAAGGCAGCCGAGGAGGGAGGCAGAGCCCGAGTTGTGGAGAAGTCAGGGAGGTTCATCAGAGGAGATAAACCAAGCCAGGCATAGTTTATAAACTGGATACAAACGAAGCCGCCGCTCACTTAGAGGTATTGTACCAGGCAGTAGAGGCAGGGAGCTGGGAGATTTGCTCTAACTGGGGTCTTCAGATGCACTGCTATTTCTTTCAAAGCTCCTCGGGGTTCCTAAAATACAGCCAGGCAGGCCTGAGAAACCCTGAAGTGACCAGAGGCCTCTGATAGACCGAGTCTGGCCCAAGGTGCCTACTACTGTATCCAGCACCCAGATAAGAACTTGCTAGAGAGTGGGTGCCCAGGATATGTGGCTGACTAAAGAAATTAATACTGTGAAGGAAGAAGTCACAACTGGTTACTACTGTCAGAGCGAGGGCTTGCCCTTGTGCTGACCTACCACATCTCTCCGGACTATGGACAGGATGGACCCAGAGCAGTAACTGGAGACAGTCTCATTAAGAGAGAAAACAAGATACTGGGGGGAGGGGGGGTAACTAACGGCCCAGTAGAGATCAAGGGCCATGTGGGGAATCTGCAAGGTGCACTAATGATGTCCTGAAGGTCTTTATGTACCCCGTCTAATGTAAGTGGCCCTCCGGTCTCCCCCACTGCAGACATTGTGACTTTCTATAAACAAGAAATGGCAGGACAGGAAGTAGATTACTAACAGAGACGGTGAACAAGGTCCTCTCTACGGCTCAGGGTGGGCGGGCAGCACGCCATTTCCAGCTTTTCTCCTCTCCCCCACCAGCCTTACTCTACCCTCTATTATCAGAGGGTGTCTGATCCTGTGACTGCAAATCATATGGCATGCCTTTTTGAAGAGATATGAGATTCCAGGCATCCCTACCAACTGGTTGTTTTGCAGCTTTAATTTACCCTTTCTTGCTGAGATGCCCTATCCCTGTGGTCCAGAGAGTCTCCTAGGCAAAACAAAACAAACAAAAAGCCATTGTGGAAAAGTCAGTCAACTATCATTTCAGCAAAACCATAGTCAGCCAGGCTGTTCCCCTGTTCTGGGTCTCAGCACTGCTGAACGGCCGAGGATCTGAACCTTGAAACCCCTCCACTATAACAGAGAGTGACTCTATGTACGATTTTCTTCCACACCTCTCTAAATTCTGTGCTGGCTCACAAGCACTGAGTGGGAGGCCTCCTCACTGTGACTCTACCCCAGCAACCAGTCTTCTGTCAGCCAGACAGACAGTGGGATCCACCTGAAGGACAAGGTGCTAGAAGCTTCACGTCTGGGAAACATAGCAAAGAACAGCAGAACAGGCAGTCGAGTGCCCCCCACACACACACACACACCTCTCTACTTCAGGGGACACTGCTGTGTGTGCATGAGGCAGAGCTGTGGATCAGGCTCATATTGAAGGCAAAGAGGTTCCTTTAAAGCTCTAACTAGATGCTAGGTAATGACCAGGACAGAGTAAAAGATTAGCAGGAGAGTAAAGTCAAGTTCATTGGCTTTAAGACCTTTTGCAATGACCTAGTCCTATAATTTCCAAGCTTGTTTTCCTTTGTAAGCAATTAAGCATACACACACACGCGCGCGCTCACACACACACACACACACACACACACACACACACACACACACACACACACATCCTTACATGGAACTCCCTGGAAAGTAGTTCTGTTCTGATTGCAACAAGGGAGAAGACAGAAATTGGAAGGAGCTGTTGGATGAGGAGAAAGCAGCTCACTCACTCCATCTACCTCCCAAATCAAATGTCCCCGGGGTACCTAGAAGGACTTTGGAACCCTAGATTTCTTTCGAAAAATCAACCATCCAGCCCAGACCCTTAATTTTACAGATGGGAAAATTGGGTAGATTGTCCAGGCTTCCCACTGAATCAATGACCGCATCGTGTTAGAACGTGCCCCATTTTCCCAAGCCAGGTCTCACCTCACCCCTTCCCACCAGCAGACACCCCACCCCACCCCAAGCCTCAGACCCACGCGGGAATCTTAGACAGAACTGCGGAAGGAGAATTGCAGGTAGATGATGAGCAGCAAGACCGTGGCCCAAAACAAGCACCAGGGAACGGAGCAGAAGTTGCAGCCTGAGCCCGCTTCCGCCTGTGGCTTGGTGGGGCTGGGCGCACGGGAGAAGGTGTAGGTGGTCGCCTCCTCCTCCAGCAGCTTCTCGCTGGGCTTCCAGTGCACGATGCCTTCCTGGCAGGCCTCGCAGAACTCGCCGCGGTGTCGCCGGTTGTCCTGGCGGCTGGCCACGTGGATGCGGTAGTGGCCACCGCGCTCCCCGTAGCACTGCTCGCGCAGGCTGGTGATGAGGTTGTCCACCAGGCTTTCGATGTTCTCCTCCAGCATGCTGGACTCGTCCAGCCGCGCTGTGCCGCACTCGTAGCACAGCTGCTTGAACACGCGCATGCGCACCGAACCAGCGCGCTGGGCACGGTCCAGGTACATGTGGAAGAGGATGACCACATGGGGCGACTGCCAGGTGTGCCAGCACCAGGAACAGTGGAACCTGCCAGGGAGGGAAGAGAAAGAGAGGGCCATATGGAGGGAAGAACAGGCCAGGAAGGGGTAAAGGGATGTGGAGGCGGGCAGAAGCAGAGCCCAGGGGTGGGGCGGTATGCTAACGGTCCCCAGGGTTCATTAGCTCCCCCAGGAGGCCACCGTCCTTGGTCTATGTGAGTGCCCAAGGGACAAGAGCAGTCTCCCGGACTTAGCACACGGCATCTAGCAGTGGTCTGCTCCCTGGTTGCTTTCCAGAGACCTTGTCTCCCTTCGGCCTGGTTTCCTCAGGCCTTGTCCTTTGCCCCAACTCTAAGGAACTCATTCTTCACCTATAAAATGCCCTGGGTGCCTTGAGGGCTCTGCCCGCACCACGTGAAGTCTGATAGCAAAGCTAGGAGCTACACAGGCCTCTCTGTCAACACTGACTGAACAGGCTAGGCCTACATCAGGAGAAAATGAACGATTAGCACCATCAACTACTAGCACAGGGCCAGAGCGAATGCATTCCCAAATCCTGGAGGCAGAGGCAGTGTGAGCACAAGGTGACCCCCCCCTCCCGCAAGGGCCAGCGTTTCCCTTAGTTAGCGTTTCGTTGACCAGTCAGCTGGGGGTCACAGTTCAGCAAACAACTCTGAGTAAGCCACAAAGCCCTCCCACTCTGCCCCACAAGAACCTCCAGGATGGAGCACCCTGCCAACATCTGATGAAGGAACTATTTCCCTCACCCAGACCACACTTGGATTTTAAAAATGTCAGAATTGGAGGGGCTGCGGAAATTAACCTATCACTCATTATGTTTCAAGACACAGTAAAAGAGCCATCCACATACACACAGGCGGTGAGAGGAAGAATCAGTATCCTGCTGACTGAAACGGACGGAATAGAACGGAGTTGACTGGGCCAAACTAAGCAGGAAGGCCTTTGCTTCTGACCCAGATACCTGCACCACTCAGCTGCCCTCGCTCAAGTCCCCAAAGTATGTCTGAACCGAGACCCGTGAACTGGAGCCACAGAGTAGAATGTTAGGTTTTCTCAGATATTTTTGTACCTACAAATCACCTGGGAGCCTTCTTAAAATCTGGGTACTGATCTGAGTCTGGAAGGGGCCCAATATTCTGCAGCTCTAACAAATTCTAGACGATCATGTCTACCGTTGTCATCCCTGGAGCGCAAGGCGAAGATGTCAGCTAACCCTTTATTCAGGATTGGGGAAAGCACGGTCCAAAGAGGAAGCAGATTGCTTGAGAGACATGGAGGCCACAGCAGAGCCAGTTTCTAGCATGCTCCATGTGATTAATGTTCTAAGCCAAATCGAGCTGAATTAGCAAGGTTCGAACTGAACTTCCCCGATACAAGAGCACAGATACCTTGACTCCCAGTGGACCCAAGCCTCCCTTTTCTCAGCTTACGGACACTTTTAAAGACATTATTAAAGGCCAAAAGGGTGTAAACTGTCAGTCAGAAACTAATAATTATGTATGTATGTGCATATATATAATATATGTATACATATATATTCTACATTTTTATTTGCTAAGTGGAGAAACTATAAGAACAGTTCTCCTGGCGACCAGTAGAAGAACTGAACTCAAACTGGGTGTCCCTTTTTGGAACACCCTGCCATCTAGTCTACAGTAGCCTAACCGTGAGACTGAAGCATGCACTTGGGTTCTGTGTGTCCTTCTCTCCTCCGAAGGTGGCCCAGGTCTAGGGTCCCAGAGGCTGTCTGCAGGTCCCTCTTTCTGGGCCACTCACCTGCCTGAAGCATGAAGTTCCAGATACTGCTTCCAGCCAGGGGCCAAGACATTGTGCTTGAGGTTGGGGTCTATGATGAAGTCCCAGCTATCCGCTGGCTTTGCTTCCTCCATCTTCTCGTAGAAGACTTTCTTCCACTCGCCTGTGGTCACACTCTTACACATGTCCTCGTCAGGGATGAGGGAAGGCAAACTCCACTTTATAGAGAATGTGGGGAGTGAGGGTAAGTGCAAGGCAGGGCAGCGCAGTCTCCACGGTCTAAAAATCCTCATTGGCAGGACCAGGAGGAAGCAGGACCCAGCTCCCTCCTTTGTCCGCAGTGGAACCTGTTTCCAAGGCAACCAGGCAGGGTGCCAGGAGACACAACTTGGGGAGGAAAGAGTCTCTGGAAGGGTACTCCAGCGCCCTGATTGCAGTCTGCAGAAGCAAGGTTTCTGAGTCTAAATGATCCAAGGCAGCTTGGGGGCCCGATAAAAGGCTAGACTTCAGACCATATCGTCTTGGCCTGCAAGAGCATGGAGAAGTGATGACTTGAGAGCTGGCTCAATTTCACCTTGCTGCCCCCTGGAGGCATCATCAGCACCTGGCTGCTATGGCAACCACTATGCCTTAGGGAGCCAAGGAGAAATGAGGGATGGGAAGATGTAGACTTGTTAGTAGGTAGAACCATAATGTGGTCTCCCTCGGCACAGCCGCCCATCTCATACCTGAAACACTGCCATTTAATATACCTCATCACTGTGCAGATCGTATAAATGGCAGAGCCGCTGATGAGCCCTTCCAACTCATTCGTTCTCCCGTTTGAAGCATACTGATGTGCCAGACCCCTGTGCAAGGTGCTTGTAACTGGATATGTACCGGGTAACAATAATGTAATGAGATGCATACTTCAAGAACCATTTACAAGAGCAGCCACCTGTGCACAAAGGTGAAGGCCGTTGCATCACCCAGGTAGCTAGGCAGGACTACTTCCAGGTTGGTTTCAGAAGAGCGGTGGAAGAGAAACCATCTGAGGTAACACGGCCTGCACAGAGAAACCTGTAATCTGTTAGTTTATTTAATGGTAAAATAGCTCTCCTTATTCACTTTGATCCAGATCATTGGAAATATTCAACAACAATTAAACAGAGCTGGGGCTGAGGAAGGCAGGCTCGCTAACCTCATTGGAAATTCGTTGAGGGATAATCGGGGGGAACATAAGATGGGGGGGAAGCAAATTTTAAACACGGGACACTGGAACAAGGGATTCAAGGAAGGAAAAGTACCCAGAGGACTGTGGTTCTGAAGGGGACTTGGGAACCGGGAAAGTGATTGTGCAGGGGTGGGCTGGGAGATGGGTCCATCTACTAAAATGAGCAAGGTCTGTATCAGGCTCTTGGGAAAGGGCTAAAGCTGGCCCTATGGGGCGGAGCCTGTGCAGGGGGAGCCAGGATAGAAGCTAAGTGTGCAGACAGGTTAGGAGGTAGAGACAGAATCCACCCTGGGATGGAAAGAGATGAGCAGGTGCAACTGGGCTCAGGACGTGGTCTGGCTGATGCTACATGTTATCTGGGTAATGACACCATTGCTGTGTCCTGAGGCTGATAGCATGAGATATCGCTTTGCTCATCTCTGCCTTCTCCCTTCTCCCTCCAAGCTTCCTGAAGGTGTCAAGAGGCACCTGAGGCTCAGGAAAGGATGACAGATAAGAAGGGAGCTGATTCCATCTTCCACATCTTCCTCAAGTCAGGTGTTGATGATGGAACCCATGGCCTGCCAGCGGCTTGCTCCTCAGGACACATGGCTGGTGGACAACAGGAACTCAGGACCTGACTCGCCCTACTTATTGGGGGCTAGACCTGTAATTTTTAGCTTGTTGTTTTTCCTTAAAAATTCATATATGCTTATTACAGAAAACTTATAAAATAAAGATAAAATTAAATAAATGCAATGCTCTTCCATAACATCCCTATCCAAGATAACTGTTGTTAATATCAAGACAAATACCATAGGACATGGTGTCATGTTTTATAAATAACAACATCTCATGTATATTCTTCTAAGTCATTAATATTATTCTCTAGTCATATGCCATAGGCTGCATTATTCTGTCATATGAGTGGGCAAAATTAACGTAGCCCATCTTGTTCTTGGGGCAGTAAAGTTGGGTTCAGTCCCTCACAGATGAGCCCTTGTGTGTTTAAAACTCACACCCATAAACGTGCATTCCCAGCATCAGAAATAATGCTGCTTATGGTCAGAAAGCACATCTCTCAGTCGGGCATCTGTGACTTGCACTTGTAATCCCAGCACCAGAGAGTCAGAGGCAGGAGGACTGAGTTCAAGATCGTCCTCAGCTGCATAGGGAGTTCATGATTAGTTGTCTCAAAACATAGAAACAAACAGGAAGCCATTTCCTGACGGTTCCACAAAGTCTTGCTGTGGCTGCAGAATCTTCTATGTTGGGAATTATATATAAATCGCCTGCAAATCCTGAAATTGGAGGGTAAGAATGAAGGGCCAAACAGCTCGGTGGGTAAAGACTTTTGCCACCAAGCCTGACAAGGTGACTGAGTTCTAACCCCAGGACCCACAGAGTGGAAAAAAGAGAACTGATTTCTGAAAGTTGCCCTTTGCTTTCCACATACACACCAACGTCATTTCATACATGCTCTGTAAAAATGGTGGTGGGGGCAGAGAATGTAATGAAAAATTAAAAATTTAAAAGAGGCCTGAAAAATCTAACTTTTCTATCTGGTACCAGACACAGTCCTCCAGGTATTCTTGACTCTGCATGGATGATGCCCTGGTGGACATGGTTTAACCTCAGTTGGTTTAGCAATGGGATAATGAGAATACAGTGTCATCAGTTGTTAAATGCATGAACCCTGGAATAGCCCATGCTTGTTCGTTGTTGTTTTGTTCTGAATTCCTTTATATATAGCTATATCTGATGTGTATCTTTTCATTAGGGTAAAATGTGTCATTGTGTGAATATATATTTATATTTACATATGAACTTGCAGCCTAATAGATATCACTAAACAGCAGCAGGTCTCAGGCCCTGTCCCAGATTCTTTATCCACAGTAGTTTATTTCGTCACAACGGCAGTGGCCGCCGCTTCACCTTACAGACACCCCTATGTAACAGAGCTTAGATAACCTGCCCGGGCTTCACCAGTCAGGACTGGCTGAACTTGGATTTTGAACGAGTACGACTGCTTTAAGCAGTGTGCTGTCCAGTGTGGAGTCAAGGACACACTGTTTGCTAGTTAAATGAGTGTGCCCCGTCTCACCACCAGATGGGCCCATTTCAGCCTCCGAGGGTTGCAGACACTACGAATCGGTATCCTTTCAGCAAATGGCTCCCTGTGGTGTGCCGAGGCCACAGCCCCTCTAGATGAGGAGAGAACAGCAAGCGATCCCCCAGGCTCTCTTTTGCTCCCAAGGTGCAGTCCTCAGTGTTGAATTTAATGAATCAGTCACACCCACAAACCCACAATGTTCAGTATAAGTATTTCAGAGCCAAAAGAGGTTTAGTCCAAAATCCTTCTCTAAATTTTGGAACGATTCCCTAATTTGTATGTCATCTTTGCCCAGGGGCCATGCTAACCCTCCCTGCAAGGTTCCAATTTTGGTATATGAGCTGCCAAAGTGAGCACACAGTCTGACGTCTTTCCAAAGAAAATACAGTCCAAGTTGTCTCTGTACACAACAGCCCTGCAAGACCATAAACACTTGGTGCCAGGTACTCAGGCTCAGTGGAAAGAGCTGTGTGTCTGGAATCAGGAATGCAAACACCCACACTGCTAGCCCTTCTGCCAGCTAATCTTGTGACCTCATGTGAGCCATTTTCCTTCTCTGGGCCTTGATGTGTGTGCATCCGCTCAAAGAACTAGAGTAGGTGAAAAAACTCGGTGGTTCTCCTGACTACAGCCATGCACGCATACTTCAAAGGGTTTGAGACTTAGCTGGATGATAGAAGGTCGGATGAGGTCATAGGGTGGAAGAGAACACTTCAGGAGAGGGGTACAGGGGTGCCTGAACCAAGTGCTGACCCCTTGGAGTCTGCATGTAGAGCCTACCGCATAGAGCCTGCTGCTCCCCCCAGGGATCACTCCTAGCATTATACTAGAAACAGTAAGAGCGACGGAAATTCAACCTAGAGCCACTGAATATTAACACGGGAAATGACTCGGAAGTTCTTCGGGATGTTTCCTCAAACCGTTCCCTGAGTCAGCACTCTTGTCTCTGAATGAAGGCAGTCAACTCTGAGATAAGTTCACTGATTTAACCAACTTCTGAAGTTGGTTAAAGATGGAAGCGGTCAGAAGAGGTGGCCAAGGAGAGCTGGAGGCTGGAGAAGTTCCTAGACAAGCTCCTAAAGCTAAGAGAAACGGACAGCAAACATGGTCAGAAAGAATCTTCCAGAAGTATTTTGTAGTTGTTGCTACAATAAACATTCTGATGAAAAACAAGGATACCAAAAGTGAGAATCAGTGTGTGTGTGTGTGTGTGTGTGTGTGTGTGTGTGTGTGTGTGTGTGTGCATTTAGCCAACTGATGCAATCCCCACTGGCACAAATTAAGTTTAATTTGAAACCTGAGCTCGCTTTGCAGAGGCCAGCGCAATCCACCCTTCTGTATAGCCGAGTGCTTAATAATAATTTTAAAAATCTACCAAGACAAAAAAGCAAATAAAAACTTGCCCTTGTTGAATGAGCTCTGACGCTACGGAGTCCAAACTCACAGATCACAGATTTAAAAGTCTTTGGAGCCTTTGGGTTCAGTTTGGTTTTTGAGAAAACCAAACCAAATATAATAAAATATTATGTGATAATATTTTAAGCTCACAAATGGCTTAAAACTAAATCCCTACTAGAAAATACAGTGATTAAAAGGAAAGAAAGAAAACCATGCCTCTGACATATTTGGCTTAATGGGAAATATAATATACAGCTTATTATGCTGCCATTGTTTATCAAGATTCTACAAAAATAAGTATTGTCCATCTTAACATGCCATGCTAATGAAAAGCCACTACCGACCAGGATGGATGTCACATCCCTGTGGTGGCATTTGTGGAGATAAAGGTGAGTTTTGGGGAGCTACACCAAAGACCAAAAGTTTCTTCTGGCTCTCAGTGGCCAGAGATCAAAGATGCATACTTGCTTTAATATCCTACAGCGAAGAATCTTTCCTCCCCAAATCCCCAGATGTGCTGAGCCACAGCAGTAAGCCTCGTCGTGTTATTGACTTAATGATGAAGATACAGTTACTACTCTCGATTTTCAGTTCAAAGGAATCATCACGTTTCTACCTCAGTAGAAATGGGCAGCCCATCCCTGGGAATCAAGCTCTCTACACCATCCCGGGAAAAGCATTACTAGCATATTACTGGAGCTAGCTTCGAGAGTGCTGTTGCCTTTTCTACCCCTTAATCATTTGGGACTAGACAGAAAAAAAAAAACAAAAAAAAAAAACCACTGTATCTTCATTACTAATTCAGAGCATGCCACACACCTCAGAGAATACGGCTGGAGCCTGGCAAGACAGTGTCACCCAGCTGGCTCCTTCAGTGAGCCTCCCAAAGACAGCCCAGTGTAAAATCAGGCCAGATGCTTCAGGATGATGGTATGTGTTGCAAAACTAATGAGTTTCAGCTGTGAAGGTCATCCGGCTACGACATCTGTCACCCCCATTGATCACGAAGTTGATTTGGCAGACCCGGCTGGGTAGGCAGGTGTCACCTTCCTGCTTCCCTACTCCACAAATACTCCCCCCAGAGCTGCACACTCAGGTAAAGAGTCAACCTTCCTCAATAGAGAAGCATCCTTCTTCAGTCAGCGTTACACAAGCACTCATCTGCTGGGGCCTCCAATCAAGTGCCGAGGGTCCAATGACCCCATAAACTTCAGATGAGCTTCTCACGGAGATAGCTTCCCCTGGTGATCTTAGGAGGACACACAGCTAACTCGCTCTCGGGATTTGACTTGTGGAGTGTCTAGGCAGGAGTAAGACACATTGTCAGATGTCTTGCCGTGGTTCAACATCAGTCTCACAGTTCAGAGGACAGAAAAAAAAAAAAAAAAAAACGTTACTTTTTTCTATCAAGCCTCCAGTGCATCTGTTCAGAATTCCCAGAGAATGTGTGTCCAGAACTTTCCCTTCTTTTCCTGGTTCTTCTATTATCTCTTTTTCAATTTTTTCCCCTCTATTTTCAGGGCCCTATGGCCAGTGAATAGACCTCCTTGTCACTGACCGTGACCACTTCACACGGGAAACTCATTCGTTACCAGGCTAACAAACACTGGCCCATATGATTGTGGAAACTGAGAAGTCTGCAAGGTGAAGACACACAAAAGCGTAGTTTTACCCCGTGTCTAAAAGCCGGACAGCTAATAACGTCGTGATGTGAGGACCATTGTGCGAGCTACAGACCACCCAGCTCAAAGCCTCAAGGAGGAGGGTGAATCTCCCTTTGCCATTTAGTTCTGTCTATTGCCCTAGCATGCCAACTCTACAGCCCATGCACACTAGGACACCAGTGAGGTGGTTCCCCCCAAAGCCACAAACTCATTTAAAACACAGCGATATTTTGGCTAATTTTTTTCAGTAACTCAATTGCTCAGTTCTAATGTGTAAACTTCGTAGGTAACAATGTCACGGTGTGTCAAGGTTGTAAGGCCTTCAAAAAGATTGGACAGCCATAGGAACCGAGATTCCAACGTTCAACTCACTTGAAACATCCTTAAATAGACTCAACAGAAGTAATGCTTCCCAAATTCCTTCAGGGGCCACAGGATAATTACTGCATTGCTAGGCAGCACCTCTGAGTCCCAGCTTCTCAATAATGAACTTGTTAATGAGAGATAACTTTTGAACTTAGTGGGAAAAACAAGAGCTCATTCCCACACTCGTGGCCACATTTGAGTTTTGGGGGGGTTTTCTTCTTTTCTTTTTTGAATGCTTTTCTTCCTAGTTTACACATAGTAATTTCACATATTATGGGGCACGTTATATCAGGGTAATCTGCATATCTATCAGTTCAGACATTTATCATTTCTTTGTACTGGTAATATTCAAATTCCTCTCTGCTTGTGATTTGAAATGGACAAATACCTGTGGCCAATGGTGTTGCTCTACTGTGCCATGTTGGAAGTTGCCCCTCCTCTCCAGCAGTACCATTCTGAGGTTTTGGAACCATGGATGTAATTTAAAGCTTGTTATATTTGACACAGGCAAAAAAAAAAAAAAAAAAAAAAAAGTTAAGGGTTCTATGCAATATGCAAATAGGGCACAAGGCAGTGAAACTGCCAAGTATGTCCTTCACACTGGTCACATTAAGTGCTGAATCAGTTAACCAAAACCTGCACCTGGAAAAAGTATAGAAACCAATGCTGATCTTCCAAAGACCTAAGTCAGTTCTTTAGTGGATGTGATTCAGAGGAGACACGAAGGGGTCTTACTTGTCAGCCACTCAGTAGCAAGAATCCTTGCAAGTCCTGATCCTGCTCTTGAGGGGAACAGAGCAGAGATCTTTTTCCCTAGGACCCAATTCTTGGTCCAGATTGACTCCAGTATGAATGACAGAGGTTCCAGAGAGAGAACCCCCATCTATACTTGCTGAGCGAGGCCCTTCCCTTGAGCTGTGTATGAACCATATCCACCCAAAGCTTAAGGACAGGATAGCTAATGCTGGAAAGCACCCTGAAGAGACATGGTAGAGTTGGCAGAAGACAGAATACCAAGGTCAGTCTTGCTGACAGCTGAAGGCCATAGCCAAGAGCAGGACGATTTCACTCCCTCGCTGGGAACCTACGGTGCCCTGAACCCTGCCAGAAGTGAGGGAGGAAGATGCTTTCAGACCAGATCCAAGGCCAAGGCATCTGCAGCCTTATATCTGTGCACCCATGGCAAACAGGTTCTCAAGGCCCAATCAAATAAGCATGGCAGAGGCAACTGGCCAAGTGCGCCCCACAGTGAACTCATTAGTCACCGATATTGATTGGTGTCATCTTACATGGTAGTCAGTGCAAGGCTGTGTCTGAAGGCTTTGGCACCCACAGCCTTTTCCATGTAGACTGCACCTTTACTATTTCCTTTGGCTGTTTTCCATTGTTTGGCTGAATTACATTTTAGACACCCAAGACCTACGGTTTTGAAAGCAACTGGCATCTGGTATGACAAAGTGGGGCCACGTACGCCTGCATAATATGCAGGCCTATTTTAGGTGTAAATACGATACTTCGCTAATACTTACCTATGAGTGCAGACTACAAGAGATTGTATCAGCAGCAGGATGTCTGTGGAAAGGGAGAAATGACAAGCCCCGAATTCTGTCACTATTGTGTGGTTTGCTGTGTGACCCAGAGAACAGCTTCTCTCTCCTAAGGTTCTGACGTTCCCTAGACTGGAGCACGAGATCTTGAAATCTTTTCCTTGCTGTACCCAGGTGTGGGATAAATGGCAGTCGCCTCCAGCTGAGGTGAAAGAAGCCTTGCCTCTCCACACCCGCCCCAGGCACTCAGAAATGCCTATGTGCGTTTGATCTCTGTCTTCTGCGTGCATTGTTGCAGGCAGTCTAGCTTCTTTTCTGTTGCTGTGAGAAAACGCTCTGACCCAGAGCAACTCAAGAAGGAAAGGGCTTGTTTCAGCTGGCT